ATAGGCCTGGAGACTCAGACTGGCATAGAAACCGACCAATCAGAACCAAATCTGGGTGAAGTGCAAGAAGCCAGTGACTGACTAGGAGGTGGAGCTTTTGACACTGACTGGCATAGAAACTGACCAGTCAGAATCAAATCTGGGTGAAATCAATGAGCCAATGGCTGCCTAGGAGATGGAGCTTTTGACACTGAATGGCATAGAAACTGACCAATCAGAGTCTAATCTGGGTGAACTGCGAAGGCAGAACCTATGGTGGGGGCTGAGGAGGGGGTTTAAGGGCAACAGCTGTTTGGTGTAAGGTGTAAGAAAGCAGTTCAATTTTTTTAATGACTGCTTTGACAGTATAGTGCATATGGCTGACTATCAGTCCAGATATAGGGTTTATGTATTTTTGTCTGCCAAGAGCATGTCCTCCTGATGAAAAAGTCTCCTTCCCCTGCCATCCATCCCCGAATTTAAGAAATCCTATTCTATATAATCTATTTATATTACTAAAAAGGTAATATGCTAATTAGATTGGGTCAACTGACCATCTTCTGGACATCCAACTTCCTTCTGGACTAAGTCATGGTTATGCGGGCCCAGGCAGAGGTGGTTAGGGTGATCAGGCAAGCAGGGGAGGGTAGTTAGGGACAATCAAGCAGGTGGTTAGGGAGGACAGTTTGGGGTGAGATCAGGCTGGCAGGGGAGGGTAGTTAGGGACAATCAAGCAGGCAGAGGCAGTTAGGGGTGATCAGGCCGGCAGGGGAGGGCAGTTAGGGACAACCAAGCAGGCAGAAGCAATTAGGGGTGATCAGGCTGGCAGGGGAGAACAATTGGGGGCAAAATCAGGCTGACAAGGGAGGGCAGTTGGGGAAGCCAGGCTGGCAAGGGAGGGAAGTTGGGGGCAAGATCAGGTTGGCAGGGGAAGGCGTTAGGAGTGAGATCAGGTCAGCAGGGAAGGGCAGTTGGAGGCAACCAGGTCGGTAGGGGAGGGAAGTTGGGGGGTGAGATCAGGCAAGCAGGGGAGAGTAGTTGGGGGGGAGATTATGTCAGCAGAGGACCGTATCTATTAATAGTTCTTTTAGTAAGAGACTGTGGGTAGTTTAACATTTTGTCTTCATATGGCTTTGAATGTCTGAAAATGCTATCCCTCCCACTCCCCCACTCTTGTTTCCTGGGTTATTTTCTTTAATCATCTAGTATTCATTGTTGTTGAGAAGATGCCAGTTTAATTTTTATTCATTTGTAAATAATCTCCCACTTGTCTTTGGTGGCTCTTCAGTTTTTTTTCTTTCTATATGACATTCTAAAGGTTCTGTTGTTTACCTAAGATACATCTAGGTGTGGATTTTTGAAATTTATTTTAGTCCACTTAACTCCTGATAATATTTTCATTTGGTTTTGGAAAATTTTTAGCCATTATTGCTTTCAGTGTTTGTTCTTATTGATTGCATCTTAGATGCATTCTGTAACCTCACAATCCTTTCTCAACTACATTTTCAAAAAAATTTTTTAATTAAAAATGTTTTTTATTGATTTCAGAGAGAGGAATGGAGAGGGAGAGATAGGAACATCAATGTTGAGAGCAAATAATTGATCGGCTGCCTCCTGCACACCCTACTCTGAATGGAGCTGGCAATCTGCATGTACCCTGACAGAATTGAATTGTGATCTCCTGGTTCCTGGGTTGACACTCAACCACTGAACCATACTGGACTGGCTCCTAATATTTTCCATTTGAATAACCTGAAAACACTATTATTAGAAAGTGATAGATAAATACAATAAAATCATTTAAAAAACCTTTTTATGGGGAGAGTTTTGAACATGCAAAAATGTATAATACATAATAATATAATACTCTAATCACTGTGCCACCTAGTTTTCAATTCTGTGAAAAGCACATTATAGATATCATTTCTTTCATTAATAGTTCTGTGTGTATCTCTAAAATATTAGAACTCTTTTATTAATAAGAAGATAATCTCAATTCCTTAATTCTTTAAATATTCAACAAGTAATCAAATTTCTAATAGTTTGTTATATCACAAATGCTTTTTCTTTTTTATAATTTTTTAAAACCAGGATCCAAATAAGGTCCACACATTGAAACTTTATAGTCTCAATTAATCTGTTTGTTTCCTGCATTACTTCTCTTTTTACTTTTTTAACCAAGTTGGTTAGTTTCCCACAATCTAGATTTTGCTGGTCACAGCCTCATAGAAAAGTTTAATGTGTTTCCCTGTTCATATATTTTCAGAAAACATTTTCTTACGTATTCCTATCTTACTGTTTTTTTCTTTCTTTTTTAAAATATATTTTATTGATTTTTTACAGAGAGGAAGAAAGAGGGATAGAGGGCTAGAAACATCAATGAGAGAGAAACATCTATCAGCTGCCTCTTGCACACCCCCTACTGGGGATGTGCCCACAACCAATGTACATGCCCTTGACCAGAATACAACCTGAGACCTTTCAGTCCTTAGACCGACACTTTATCCACTGAGCCAAACCAGTTTCAGGCTATCTTACTATTTCTACTTCTTCAGCTGATTGCCTTTCTGTAGGTGATTAACTTGTAAAGACAATAATATTGCCTATATTATAATAAGGATTGTTTGTTACAGAGCCAAGGAGTATCTATACTGTTATTTCACTCCTAGTCAAGTTTTCTTTCATTGGAATTGCCTCTTTATTTCTTTTTCTTTTCTTTTCTTTCTTTCTTCTTCTTTTTTTTTTTTTTAAAAAATATTTTTATTGATTTCAGTGAGGAAGGGAAAGGAGAGAGAGACAGAAACATCAATGATGAGAGAGAATCATCGACCGGCTGCTTCCCACTTGCCCCCCACTGGGGATCAAGCCCACAACCCAGGCATGCGCCCCTGACCGGAATCAAACTTGGGACCCCTCAGTCCACAGGCCAATGCTCCATCCACTGAGCCAAACCAGCCAGGGTGCCTTTTTCTTTTCTGTCACTGCTTTGCTTTTTTATATCATCTGTAGGTATTTATGTTTTGTTTAGCTTTGTTTTCTACTCCTTCTTAGCAAGCAGCCTAGCACCACTTTTTTCTCAAGTCTTTTAGAGGCAGAGGGCTCCTGTCTGAGGTCTGCTGCCCAGCTGTTATCATAATCCTTTACTGCTTTCCGGGATTGGATCTATTTTTTTTGGACCAGATGTCATACTTTTTTATTTACTCCTTTGTTCTGGCATGTTATAGCTCAGAAAAGTAACTTGTTAAATGCTGTTTTTGGGTAAACTTTGAATTTTCAAGTGTTTGAAAATGCTTTTTTTTTTTTTTTTCTGGGTAAAAATTCTAAGTTGTAAACTATGTATGAGATTAGAAAATTCAAAATAATGATACAAAATAAAAAGGAAAGCCATTCTTACCTCTTAGATCCCTTTCCTATAGGTAGTCTTCTTTTAAAATCTAGTGGATTCGCTCTGATTGGCTCAGTGGATAGAGCGTTGGTCTGCAGACTAAAAGGTCCAGGTTTGATTCCAGTCAAGGGCATGAACCTTGGTTGTGGGCACATACCTGCCAGGCCTGAGGCCTTTTAAAAAACAGTAGTTACTGAAAAGTAGATCCAGGTTCTTATCACTGATGATATTAGACATGATATTCCTATTATCATTGACAAGAAGCTTGAATTGGACTCTCCCCTTGTAGCGTTCATGTATGTAACTTTTCTTGGCTATGTTCTTACTTGGATGTTTGATTATATTTTGGAGAGTTATTGCTTTAGATATAATTGGTCAAATGTACTCTTGAAAATAATGTTTAGGTAGCCAAATATCTGGTAGAAACCAACTCACCTAAAGTGTATCTGAGAATAGATAAAAACAAGAAAAGTTTGTTTGATACTAACAGGTATCTGGGGGGATATGTTTAACATATATGAAAAAATGCTGAACAAATTGCTAGCATGTTGAATCCAGTAATATTTTAAAAATAATAAATCTTTTAAAAAATTCTTCATTGATAAAAGTATTACATATGTTGCCTTTTTCCCACATTGACTCCCTTCAGTATGCCCCTCTCCCTCCTTCCCTTCCCCAGGTCTTCAGCTCCTATTGTCTCTGTCCATAGGTTATGCAATTAAGGTCTTTGGTTGATTATTTCTCACCTACCCATCCTTCCCCTGTCTTCCCTCTGAGATTCTGCACTCTGTTCCTGCTTCCATGTCCCTGGGTCCATTCTGTTCATTAATTTATTTTGTTACTTAGATTCCACATGAGTGCAATCTATATATATAAAAGCTTAATATGCTAAGTGTCCAACTGTTCGACCATTTAACTATTCAACTGATATCTATGATGTGCACTGGCCACAAGATTTGGATAGGAAGAGAGTGAAGGGGGAAAAAACAAAAGGAGTCACTCTCCTTGTAAGGAGTGGTCCTGGAAGTACAATCCAACAACTTTCATTTAATCTTATTTGCTAACACGGGTTACGGGGTTATCCACCAATGGGGAAGTACAGTGTAATGTTTTGTTTTTTGATACATTAACTCTCCTTCAGTATCAAGGAAGAAGGAAAAAATGCAGATTGGGTATGTAACTGCAGTTTTGCCATAAGTATAAATTATTCTCAATGGTATAACTTCTCAAATTCTATACTTCTGCCCAATAACTTACTGAACATATTTTATATCTTTCTACTCTTGAACAGTTTTATTCTCTTGGAATGTTTTTCCTCTTCCATTCATTTAAATTCAATCCATTGTTCAAGATCAGTTTTAAATATTAACTCCTCTTATAAAAATTGAAATGTTATTTTCCCCTTCAGACATTAATAAGCTATTGTCAGAGTAATTCATTTGTTAAGAAATCATGTTGCCTCATGGGATATTTTCGGTAGTCTGCAACTGGTTTTCTCTGTTTTGTGTTACATATTTATATTTTGTTTCCTCAGTTAAATGGTAAACTTCACAATTTTATAGTCCTTGTCTACAGGAAGTTTATAATCTTGATGGTTTTCACAATCATTGATTAACTGTGTTGTTTTCTCTTATAGGCAAATGTCCTGAAAAAGACTGCATGGAAATGGCTTGCCTCACAATGACAGAAATGGAAGGAACATGCACACCTCCTATGCATCAGAATGGTGATATTCCTGGAATTACTGACCCTGTGAAACAAATAGATCCAATCCTTCAGGTGTATCTTTATCATTCCCTTGGGAAAACTGAAGGAGATTACCTGAAATTTTCAACTGGGGAATATGTTGCAGAAGAAATTTGTATTGCTGCTTCTAAAGCCTGTGGTAACTATTAAAAATATTTTTTCTATTTATTAATAGATGATTGCTTTAATTATGCTAATCTAATACAACACACATGTAGAACATACATAAAACATGAGAACATCACTAGAGTAGAATTTAAGGCAAATCTGCCTTGGTCTGGTCTTATAGTTGGAATGTTTGTGTTCCCCTTCAAACTTATGTTGAAATCTATTCTCCCAGTGCTTGGTCGGCGAACTGCAGCTCACAAGCCACATGCGGCTCTTTGGCCCCTTGAGTATAATTCTTCCACAAAATACCATGGCCTGGGCGAGTCTATTTTGAAGAAGTGGCATTAGAAGAAGTTTAAGTTAAAAAAAATTGGCTCTCAAAAGAAATTTCAATCGTTGTACTGTTGCTATTTGGCTCTGTTGACTAATGAGTTTGCTGACCACTGCCCCAGTGTGATGGTATTTGGAGGTAGGACCTAGGGGAAGTGATTAGATCATGGTGGGTGGGTGGGGGTAATGTCCTTCATCAGTGGGATTAGTATCCTAAAAGACTCCAGAGAGCATCTCTGCCCCTTCAGACATGTGAAGACATAGTAAGAAAATGAATCAGAAGATGAACCTTCTATGAATCAGACGCAGGTCCTTATTAGAACCTGAATCTGCCAGTGCCATGGTTTTGTACTTTACAACCTCCAGAATGATGAGAAATGTCTGTTATTTATAAGCCACAGAGTTGATGGTATTTTAGTTAGAGGATACCAAATGGATTAAGACAAAAATTGGTACTTAGAAGTGGAGGAGGGGGGAAGATGTAACAAATACCTAAAAATGTGAAAGTGGCTTTGAAATTGCATAATAGGTAATGGAAGAGTTTTGAGTGCATGCTAGAAACAGCCTTCATTGTGCAGTCTGGTGAGGACTCAGAAAGAAAAGAAGAGAGCTGAAGAGAAAGCCTCAATCTTCTTAGAGAATACTTAATCATGAATAGAAAGCTGGTAGAAATATGGATGGTAAAGAACATTTTATGAGGTCTTAGATCAGATGAGCAACATGTTACTGAAATCTGGAAGAAAAGTGATCCTTGTTGTAAGGTGCCAAAGAACTTTCCTGAATTGTATTTATATTTTACTGTTTTGTGGAAGGTAGAGTTTTGTGAGTAATAAAATTGGATATTGACTTAAACACACTGTTCAAAGTCATTACTTGACTGCTGCTTACAGTAAAATGTTCGAGAAATGACTTAAAGATGGAATTGTTAAGCAAAAAGGAAGCAAAACTTGAAGATTTGGAAAATTCTCAACAATCCATCTTGTAAAAAATGAAAAAGTGTTGTCTAAAGAAAACACTATTTGATAATTAGTGTGGATCAGCCGTATCAACAGGTACCATATCAACAGGTACCAGGAGCTATTTCCTAAGACAATAAAAGAATGACACTAAGGGCAATTTAGAAATCAATCAGGCTGCCCCTTCTTTTGCAAAGGCCTGATGGCAGAACAATTTCAAAGGAGAGCTGCCAAATCTTAGAGACCTCCTGCTTGCTTCCTGGTGCTGCCTCATAGTGAGGGTTCCTCTGGTGCTCTGCCCAGGTTTAGCTCTGGTAGTCCTCAGTGCAGCAGCTGCCCCTCTGTAGGTTGCATGCTGCAAACTTTGGTAGAATAAACTGTTCCTACCAGCTTGAGAATGCAGGTCCAGGGGGTATGGCTGCATCCACCTAGATTTCAAAGGATGGAGTCACCCAAATCCATGGGTCAGCGCTCCCAAACTCTGCCAGGCGTGCAGATGGCAGCTGATTGATGTTTCTATTCATCCCTCTCCCTTTCTCTAAAAATGTCAATAAAAAATATTTTAAAAAATATTTTTAAAAAATGGTAGGTTTGGGTCATTGTTTCTCTAAATATTCTTTTTGTGCCTATCTCTAGTTTATCTTCCTCTGGGACTCCTCCCATATTATACTCCGTATAATTTCAGTCCTCAAAATTTGTTGATTGTCTTATGATTCAGATTATCAGGCAAGTTTTAAAAAATGTTTCACATACATATGAAAACACTTGATGATTATATAGTGTTCTATAAATGTAAACTAAGTTTAAGATGGTTAATAATTTAAAATGTGAGTGTCCTTTTATTTTTTTTGCCTTCTCCCATGTTTATAGATTTTGAATTTGTCTATTTCTATTTGTCTGTTTCTATTCTGGTCCCATCTACTTTTGCTTCATATATTTTGAAGCCTTGTTATTAGTTGAACACAAATTTAATATTTTTTGTCTTTCTGTTGAATTGACCCTCTTATCACCATGAAGTGTTCCTTTTTACTTTAATATTTCTTTCTTAATCATAAAAGTATTTTCTCTTTCCAAGATAATCTTATATCAGGTCTTATGGCCCTTTCAAGGGCATGTCCTCTCCCACTGTCTTATATGAACTTAGAACACTGATTTATGTGATATATTTTACCTTTTAGATAGAAGAAGTAGTATGTGCAGTGTACAGAGACATGGGATTATGAAGCTAACTACTTGATTATATGTTATTTTAAAGTTCAAGTTTAAAATATATTTTTTTAATTCAGAAGTTGTGTGGATCAAAATAATATTCAGATGAAATAAACTAATTGCTATCTACTTATTGTTATTTTAAAATTTAGAAAATTACAAGTCATTATTCTTTAGTTTGAAGATGACTCACATGGTGAACCCTTTGCTATGGATAAGTCTTTTTTCTTCCCTTTCACCTTTTCTTTGTGACATGAGGGCACACTGTTTTTATTTAATAAATTCTTTTGAGAAAGTTTCTTGTCCACTGTATTCTTACCTTCCCTTTTTCTTAGTTCTATCCTGTTAACTTTCATTTTCTTAGTTCCATCCTGTTAAGTTCCATTCATAATCATAATTATGAATCCTTTTATACTTTTCTCCATGATCATATAATCACATAATGGACACACTATCTCATTTTCTCTCATAAACAGTCATTATGATTTTAAAGCTATTATTTTATAAAATAAAATCATATTATATATTCTTCTGTGCTTTTTGCTTTTTTTAAATAAATAAATACATTCTGAAAAACCTATTTAAGCCAACTACTTTGGCACTAGCTCATTCTTTTATTTAATTTCATAACAGTCCGTGGCATGGATTTTACCACCCTAATTTTTTCTTTGCTCTTGAATTTACATTTTCTTATTAATCTACTGCACTTTTAGGAATACATAGAAGATATTGATGAATTTAAAGGTTTTAATCATTCTTTACTGATACTGATTTTTTAAAAAAATTTATACCAATATTGCCTTCTCAAACACTCTTCCAGTTTACATTTCTAGCAGTTACATAACAGTACCCTTTTCACCATTAATCAGCAATAGATGATATTTCTCTTACTCTTTTTGCTAGTTAAATGGGTATAAATTGATGTCACATAATTTTAATTTGCATTTCTTCAAAACTAGGTATTAGGTATTACCATCCCTTCAAATTTTATTAGACTTGTAAACTTGCTTTACTGTGAATAACTTATTTCCATTTTTTCACTTTACTTTTTTATTTTGCTTTTTAAATTTTTATTTCTTTATTATAAAACTTTTATTATAAAACAAAATTCGTGCATTGTGTGTGTGTGTGTGTGTGTGTGTGTGTGTGTGTGTCCATCATCCCAAACTGCACCCTCTCTAATCTAGGACCCCTCAAGGGATGTCCGACTGCCCATTTAGACCCAATCCTCGTGGGATTGGGCCTAAATGGGCAGTCGGACATCCTTCTCACAATCTAGGACTGCTGGCTCCCAACTGCTTGCCTGCCTGCCTTCCTGATTGCCCCTAACTGCTTCTGCCTGCCAGCCTGATCACCCCCTAACCACTCCCCTGCTAGCCTGTTTGCTCCCAATTTCCCTCCTCTGCTGGCCTGGTCACCCTTAACTGCTCTACCCTGCAGGCTTGATTACCCCCAACTTCCCTCCCTTTCAGGCCTGGTGCCTCCCAACTGCCCTCCTCTGCTGGCCATCTTGTGGTGGCCATCTTATGTCCACATGGGGGCAGGATCTTTGACCACATGGGACAACAATCTTTTGTGTTAGAGTAATGATCAATCTGCATATTACTCTCTTATTAGATAGAAGGAGGGTAGAGGCTTGGTACACAGGTGGGGCTTGCTGGTTTGCCCTGAAGGGTGTCCCAGATCAGGGTGGGGGTTCCCTTGGGGCATGGGGCAGCCTGGGCAAGGAGCCTGTGGTGATTTGCAAGCTGCCATGTCCCCCAGTGACCCAAGCAGAGGCCCTCGTATCTGGGATTTATTTATCTTCTACAATTGAAACTTAGTAGCATTGAGCAGAGCCTTCTGCTTGCTCTGTGGCTACAGCCATTTCTGTTGGGACTTATTTATCTTCTATAATTAAAACTTTGTAGCCTTAAGCTGAGGCCTCAGCCAGTCAGAATATGCGTAAAGCTTGGCTTCCTCCATCACTGGGGAAACCGAAGCCTCCCTCCTGCTCTCTCTGTGGCCTTAGCCATCTTGGTTGGGTTAATTTACATACTTATTCCTGATTGGCTTATGGGCGTGGCTTGTGGGTGCAGTTGAGTGATGGTTAATTTATTTACTCTTTTATTAGATAGGATATTTTAAGTAATACTTTGTATAAAAATATAATACAAACCAGTGTACTCACTACCCAACTTTTCAAATCTATGATTTTTGCCATTTTACTGCAGATTTTTTCCAGTATGTTATTGTGATAAATTATATGAATGGAGTTTTCTAATTTAGTCATTTTTGCAATCTTAGGGTGAATGAACTTCATTAATAAAAAAACAACAACATTATTGTTGCCCTGACCAGTTTGGCTCAGTGCATCGGCCTGTGGACTCAAGGGTGTCACAGGTTCTATTCCAGTCAGGGCGTGTATCTTGGTTGTAGGCAATCCTCAGTAGGGGGTATGCAGGAGGCAGCTGATTGATGTTTCTCTCTCATTGATGTTTCTAACTCTATCCCTTTCCTTTCCTCTCTCTGTAAAAAATCAATAATATATATATATATATATAATAGAAAGCATGGTTGGATTTGGTTTGCTAATATTTAGTTTAGGATTGTTAGTATCTATTTTGGTGAGATAATTCTTTTATGATGTCTTTGGTTTTGGTATCATAGTCAAACTAAATCCACAATATTTGCCATTTTTTCTGTTCTCTTTTTAAATTCTCTGTAATTAAGATTAGAATTGTCTTTCATGTTTGGTTGAACATATATAAATTTCCTCTGGGTCTTATGGAGGTTTTCCTTTTTTCTGATTATTCTTTATTTCTTTCCTTCTTCTTCCTTCTTTCTTCTCCTCTATTTTTTTTAAAGTGGGAGATTGTTTTTTTAATGATTATAGTTCTTTTGAAATCCATTTTTAAAGTTAAAGATTTTAAAATTTAATTTGTATATATTTTCTTTTTTAAAATAAATTTTATTGATTTTTTTACAGAGGGAAAGAGAGAGGGATAGAGAGTTAGAAATATGAATGAGAGAGAAACATCGATCACTGCCTCTTGCACATCCCCTACGGGGTATGTGCCTGCAACCAAGGTACATGCCCTTGACCAAAATCAAACCTGGGACCTTTCAGTCGGCAGGCTGACACTCTCTCCACTGAGCCAAACAGGTTTCGGCAATTTGTATACATTTTCAAGTTTATTGGCATAATTTATTCTAGCACTCCCTTTTTGTCTTCAGAACTTATATTTAAAAAAATTCTTAGTGTTATCTGTGCCTTCTTTCTTTTTCGATCAGAGTTGACAAAGATTTGTTTATTTATTAGTCATTGTAAATAATCAGTTTTTATCTTGATGATTCTCTTTATTAGATTTTTATCCTTATTAATTCCTTTTGTGTCATGTCCTTCTTTCAGCTGTCTTTGGGTTATTCTGTTGTTTGCTGACTTGACTTAGATAATTCAGATTAATCTGTTATTTTCTAATGTAATAATATTAGAGCTATAATTTTCCTTCTTGAGTATAATAGTTATATTTTATAATTTTTAACACATATTAGTAATCATTTATTATAAATGTTCTTTAATTTCTGTGATCTGTGAGATATTTAGAAGTATTTGTAGCCTCTATCAGTGGGTAGAACATTGGCCTGCAGACTGATGGGTCCTGGGTTCGATTCTAGTCAAGGGCATGTATCTTGGTTGCAGGCTCCTTCCTGGCCTAGACCCTGATCTGGGTATGTGCAGGAGGCAACCAATCAATGTGTTTCTCTCAGAGTGATATTTCTCTCCATCTTTTTCACTTTCTCCAAAAATCAATGGAAAAATATTCTCAGGTGAGGCTTAAAAAAAAAAAAGTATTTGTAAATACAAGGATGAATGCAAGGATACAGTTTGAGTTTTTACTGAATAAGCTTTTTTATATATAACTTACTGAAATTATTACATATCTATGAGTAGACAGTTTTAATAATTTGACTATAAATTAAAAAATTTTGTTGTCAGTTTATCAAGTTGATGTGATTTTTGCCTACAATGGAAAAGAGTGAAAATGTCACTCAAATAAAAACTCTCGTTTTTTGAGGCTTATATTTTCAAATATATAGGATAAAAATTTTTAAGTATTAATTTCTGAGTTAAGTCAAGCATGATTAGAGAACATGCTATGTATGACTATTCTCTGGCATTATGGGAGACTTATTTTTAGTTTCCACATGACTGGTGTGAATATGTGTGTATGTATGTGTGAATGTTCTATATGTGCTAGGAAATAAAAAGCATTAATTGTGTGGCTTAGATATTTTATATGCTTTTATAAAGTTTAGTGGCCTTCAACTTTTTGTCCATGTACATCCTAAAATATCTTTGAAAATAAATTATATACTCCTGCATTTTAAGTTTACAATTAAATTTTTTTCTAAATTTTATTAATTTATTTTTTTTACAATTTGAATTTTTTCCTAGGGCAGAGAATTTAATTACTAGTATTGTATAAAATCTGATATTTAAAAATAAGGCTGTTTCACTGTTTTCTTAAAAGTATCCAGTGACTTCTAAATATTAATTACTTGATATATCCTTCTTATAAATTTAAATACACCAATTTAAATCTGTTTATTTGTAGAGACATCTAAAAAAATTGAATAATTAAAAAATTTTGTTTGGAAAAGTCCCAGTAGTCATGTTTTAAAACATAGGGCAAAAATGATATTAAATTAAGAATTCAGTTAGAGTTCGTGTTGAACTAAAAGATTTCAACTGCTACTGCATTTTTAAAAAAATATATTTTATTGATTTTTTTACAGAGAGGAAGAGAGAGGGATAGAGAGTTAGAAACATCGATGAGGGAGAATCATTGATCAGCTGCCTCTTGCACACCCCCTATTGGGGATGTGCCTGCAACCAAAGTACATGTCCTTGACCGGAATCAAACCCGGGACCTTTCAGTCCACAGGCCGACGCTCTATCCACTGAGCCAAACCGGTTTCGGCTGCTACTGCATTTTATGCTGATTTTAAATTGTTAACTTTAAACCCATTATAAATTATAGATGTTATATAAATGTACTTTTAACTATCTGTACTCATTTATTTTTCTGCTTCTTTCTTAGGAATCACACCTGTGTATCATAGTATGTTTGCTTTAATGAGTGAAACAGAAAGGATCTGGTATCCACCCAACCATGTCTTCCATATAGATGAGTCAACGAGGCACAATGTACTCTATAGAATAAGGTATGTTCTTCAGTAAAGTGATTCACTTTAGTGGCAAAAGAACAAAGTGGATGAAATTATTGAACATTTTTAAAATTGTAAGGTATCTAATATCAGAGACTACAGCTAATTAGCATTTAATCTTCTTGTAAGACTATTTCTCCATTAGAGGTTAGGGCAAAGCAGTCTCTTTAAAATTAGGAAAAAGATAGCTGCAGTTACTGCTTTTGTTTAGGATTTTAATGGTGTTCTTAACCAATAAGGCAGAAAATAAAAGTTTAATAATTGAAACAAAGAAGGAAAAAGTCATTATTTGGAGGTGATATTATAAGCATTTTTCTACATTTCTGTTTCCTATTATTATTTCTACTGTTTATGCATGGAGAAAGGCAGTATATTGATTTTTTACTTAAGTTTCTTGTATTTTCTACCTATTTTTTTATTATATAGTTTTATCTAGGTTTTTTTTTTTTTTCTCTCTCAACTTATATTTAACATTATTAGCTGTGTTTTCTCATTATGGGATAATACCTTTCATTATGCAAGAAGTGGTTATAAGTATGCAGTATGTTTATATTTGATTTATTTGGAGGCTGACAGAATGTTTCAACTGTCTTGTAGATTTTACTTTCCTTACTGGTATTGTAGCGGCAGCAACAGAACTTATCGACATGGAATAACTCGAGGTGCTGAAGCTCCTCTCCTTGATGACTTTGTTATGTCTTACCTTTTTGCTCAGGTATGATATGTTATCTGCTTTTCACATGTTAAATGATAAAAACCTCTTAGGAAAATCTTCATACATGGCAAAATTGTTCCGTTTCGCACAGCAGGTACAGCTAGGTAACAAAGTGAAGTCTTTATTACTAACTTTTAATCCTATGATTTATGGTTATGGACAATAGAATTTACTTTATAGAGATTCCTTGAATTGGCCATTTTTAACATACTTCTTTTTTTAGGGCTTTAAGTTATTTTAAGGATTTCATAAAGTTTAGACTGAAGTTTATAACATGACTCATGCAAACATAAGAGGCTGGAACATAGGACAATAAAATATCTTTAGAGAAGTTTGTTTTTTAATTTCTGAACAAATTCAGACTTAAATAGTGGGAAGTGAAATGTAAAGAAACTTGGTAACCACATAAAAAGTTAAGCTATAATAGTTTGTGTAATTTCTCATGGGAGATTGAGTCTGAGTGTTTTTTTCTAGTTATTTTTTTTATTAATACTATTATGTTAATTTTTATAGTGTATTTGAATAATGCTTTTTTTCCTCTATTACCTTGATTTAAACAGTAATTAAAATGTTTTATCATTAAATAACTTTTGTTTTTATGTGCTAAAGACTGAGGAGTAGAAACTAAAGAAAAAAAAAGATATTTGTACTTTTGGGTAAAGAAATGTTCTTGTTATTCCCCATTAAAGAGTAAGTTCCCACACCCCTCTCCTCTGGCCCCTAACAGCCACCTGTGTACTTAATTCTTTATGAATTTGCCTATTTAAGGTACCTCATATAATTACAGTTATGTAGTACTAGATGTCCAATGCACGAAGATTCATGCAAGAATGGGCCTTCCTTCCCCTGGCTGTCGGCACCGCCCTCACTCCAGGCCTGGAGCCACCTTTCTGCCTTTTCTCTGGCCCCAGAGCCACCTTGCTGCCTTCCCACACTACTCAGAGGCCCAGAGTGGCTGGGGCGGTGTGAAACGCCTGCATTGTCGCCATGGCTATGATGCAAGCCTCCTGCCCTGCCCTCAGCCGCTTAGCTTCTGAATATGCAAATTAACCCTCCATCTTTGTTGGGTTAATTTGCATACTTACTCCTGATTGGCTGGTGGGCATCATGAAGGTATGGTCAATGCATCTTTCTCTTTTATTAGTGTAGATTATTTTGTGACTGGCTTATTTCTCTTAGCATAATATCTTCAAGGTTCATTCATGTTGTAGCGTGTGTCAGAATTTCCTTCCTTTTTAACCAGTTAACTGCCACACATCCAAAACAGAAACCGTCCCCACATGCTACGATATTTTGAATTTAATTGCGTCTATAGATGCTTATGGTGTACAAAGGGTTAAGGCTGACTATTCCATTGTACATGGTATCACATTTTGTTTATCCATGCATCTGTTGATTTGAGTTGCTTCCTCTTTTTGGCTATTGTGAATAATGCTGCAGAGAACATTGACATACAAATATCTGAGACCCTGCTTTTAATTTTTTTGAATATGTAACCAGAAGTGTAATTAATTTCAATTTCAATTTCTTCAATCCTTGCCAACACTTACCTTCTATTTTTTTTTTTTTTTTTATAATAGTTATTCTGGTAGGTATGAAATGGTATCTCAGAGTTTTGATTTGCATTTCCTTAATGATTAGTGATGTTTTTTCATAAGTTTTTTGGCCATTTGTTTATCTTCTTTAGGGAAACTATTATTCAAATCCTTTGCCCATTTTAAAATCAGGTGTTTTTGTTGTTGTTGTTGTTGAGTTATAAGTGTTCTTTATACATTCAAGACATTTACCCCTTAATAAATATATGTTGCAGATATTTTCTCTCATTGTATAAGTTTATTTTTTCACTATGTTGATTGTGTCCTATGGTATGCAAAAGTTTTTAATTTTTATGTGGTCTAATTTATTTTTTTCTTTGGTTATCTGCTTTTGGTATCATATTTGATTGAGAAGTCATTGCCTGTTCCAATATCATGCACTTTTCTCCTACATTTTTAAATTTATTAATATGTTATTGACTATAGTTGGAGTGCTTTCATGGTTCTAAGCTCATTTGGGACAGGCTGGGACTCAAGGAAAACTAGCTGGCTTCCACTTCCTCCAAGGGCACCAATAGCTGACCTTGACACTGAAACTTGGCTCAGGAGATTAAAAGAACAGAAATTTTATGCCATGGTAAAATGTAGAGGGATTTTTTTCATATAGACAGAGATATATAACTGGTCTATTTAGACTGGAGTTGACCCATTAAAAGTATTTGGAAATGTCTCAATTTGGTAAGATTTGGATTTCAGACCTTTCTCAAGAGTTGTGAGTGTGTTAGTCATCATACTGAAGATCAGTCCTAGCCTTACCCCTTCAATCAGAACATTAGGGGAAGAGGCTAATCTAGGCTGCTGAGGCAATCATCCCCAGGAAAGGCATATCTTATATAGTAATAAAAACCTAGGTGGTGTCATGCCCTTGTGCAATATCATCACAAGATGGCCACCACAAAATGGCTGGCAGGAGAGGATAGTTGTGGGCAATCAGGCCAGCAGGGGAGGGCAGTTGGGGGCAATTGAGCCTGCAAGGGAGGGCAGTTGGGGGAGATTAGGCTGGCAGGGGAGCAGTTAGGCATAAATCAGACTGGCAGGTGAGCAATTATGGGGTGATCAGGCCGACAGATAGAAGTGGTTAGGAGCAATCAGGCAGGCAGGCAGAAGCGGTTAGGGGCAATCAGGCAGGCAGGCAAGCAATTAGGAGCTAGCAGCCCCAGATTGTGAGAGGGATGTCCTAGATTGGAGAGGGTGCAGGCTGGGCTGAGGGATAATCCCCCCATCCCACACGAATTTTGTGCACCAGACCTCTAGTAGTTGTATAAACTGATCCATGTCATAGAGAATGTAGGCCTAAGGAGGATCAGAGAACCCAACATATCTGTTGGAGATTATGAAGCTGAGAATCCCATGATGCATTCCACACAGTGGCACTAGCCCCTCCAGGTTGCACAATACCAGAAGCCTTAGGTGGATGATGGTCATAGGCATTTGCAATGCTGGATTCATGGGACGAGTGTTTGTAGAAGTTACTGATAAAAGGATCTCCTCCTCTTCAATGAAATGATTTGATTTGGTGCTACAGTGCCAGACTTGGCTGAGTTTGTGGCATCTGCTTTCTCATTTTGATGTGCTGGTTCCTAAATGAGTGAACCAGCGATCTTTTCTGTCAAAGAAAGGAGCTCACTGCCATCTTAGGTCCCCCCATTTTGATATGGCCTATAGACTCTCAGGGGGCTGCCAGTTTGGGCTTCATCTTATCTCTTCCCTTCCTCTGAATTAGCCAATCACGCAATAACGGGAACCCGAGCTCTGAGCCCTGACCAATCAAGTGAGGGGCAGGGCAGACCTGTGTCAGGAAATAAAACCCCAACAGACTTCTCATTGGGTATGCTTCGCCCATGATTTCCAGCAAATTTACTCCAGCACCCTTTTGTGCAGGAGTAAATTTGCTTTGCTGACCCAGTTTTAAGTGTTTGTCTCATTCCTGCCACATCGACATTGTTGAGAGCATTTCTAACAAACCAAATCTTTATTACTAACTCATCAAGTTGAGTAGCTGTATAAGTTCCACCATGGTAACTCAATGTGGGTACATGGTCTTTTAAAATGTATTAAAAGCTATTTCAGACTAAAATTTGTGTGGTACCAAGGCCGGTTTGGCTCAATGGATAGAATGTCAGCTTGGGGACTGAAGGGACTCGGGTTCGATTCTGGTCAAGGGCATGTACCTTGGTTGTGGGCACATCCCCGGTTGGGGGTATGCAAGAGGCAGCTGATTGATGACTCTCTCTCATTGATGTTTCTAACTATCTCTCTCCCTTTCTCTCTGTACAAAATCAATAAAATATATTAAAAAAAATAAAAATAAAATTTGTGTGGTACTGGTGGGAAGATCTTGGCTTTCCTGATATATTTTATATGGAAGATTTATGTAGGAAGCCCTTATTCTTTATACAAACACACACAAAAAAGCCAGCCTGCTCCCTAATCGCCCAAATGTGAAGACAGGAGGTCAAACACCCCAGATTTCATTTAGCTTTTCAGCATCTGCCATGTACTCTAATTAAGGAACCACACGAGGATGTGAGTCAACCTGCCATAATCTTTTAAAAGTAGAATGTTCAGCTGTGTGTGTTGAGAAAGATCAACTCCAGTCTAAATGATCAGAATTTCATCTGTCTTTCTCTAAATTTCCTTATAAGAGTTTTATGTTTTTTATTTTGGCTCTTACATGTAGGTCTTTTGTCCATCTGGGTAAATTTTTATATATGGTGTAAGATAAGAGCCCAACTTAATTTTTGCATGTGGATATCCAGTCTTTTTTTCTTTTTTCTTTTTTAGGATCATTTGTTGAAAAAACTGTCCTTTCTTCACTTAATGGTCTTGGCATTCATTAAAAATTACTTGACTACTAACCAACTTTTATTCAGCTTTCTTTGTTTCAGGAAGCTGAATAAAAATTTGTTAGTTGTTTCTCTTAGCCATTAAGAGAGAGAGAGGCTTTTGAGAATAATATTCTATGAGATGACTTTCTGCTGCTTTTATGATTTTATTATTTCAACTATACTATAAACCTGATTTCTTTTGGTGGCATGCTAGTTAAATCCTATTAATAAGGCAACCATTCAGTTACTTTTCTCTCATATTAATACTAGGATATCTCCAATTTTTAAAAAAATATATTTTTTATTGTTTGACAGTATTACAGATGCACTTATTTTCCCTTCCTTTCCCCCTTCCACTCAGTCCCTGCCTCAATACATGCCTTCAACACACTGTTGTTTATGTCCGTGGTTATAGTTTGATCTAGAAATGTTATGACTGAATGCAGATAAAAATTTTTTTGTTCAGCTACCCATATAAAATTACTTTTCTACAGTTTAATGAAATGAAAATTTATTGACACATTCTATAATATTGAAGACAAGCTAGTTTAAAATAAATTGATTTGGCATTTGGGACTCTATTTGTAGCTTTTTTCTAGTGGGTATTTGGTTGATTACATCCTTAGCACTAATGTTACTGATTTTTCATATATTTGTTTTTTTTGAGCATGAGTTAAACAGAATATCTTCATGAACAGAATTTATTATCCACTGGTCCTATATTGTATATGGAAGAAAAAGCAAGTTATTTTAAAAAAAAAATTCACCTAGCTATCAGTTTGATAGCTCCTTAAAAAAAAAAAAAATCTCCTCACCTGAGGATATGGAAAGAGAAAGAGAGAGAGAGAGAGAGAGTGAGAGAGAGAGAGAGAGAGAGAGAGAGAGAGAGAGAGAGAGAGAAACATCAATTTGTTCCACTTATTTATGCATTCATTGGTTGCTTTTTGTATGTGCCCTAATGGGATCAAACCTGAAACATTGGCTCATTGGAACGATGATCTAACTAACTGAGCTATTCAGCCAGGGCCCTTAGTATAATGCTTTGAACATATTTGGAACTCAGTACATATTTAATTAATATGTATTTTGGTTTAGGTAATTTTGCTGTAGAAGATATAATTTTAAGATAAGAGCAGTGAAATAGATTGATGTATATACTGTCTAGTTGGGAACCAATTTAAATCAGTTTCCATATTCAAAATAACTTTTATTAAAATTTCAAGGCAAAATGGTTGAAAATCAAAAGAGTTGGTATTCTTTTAAATATATGTGTTCTGGAAATTACATTATTGTTTAAAATATGGTAATAAATTAAAATGTAATATTGAAGCTTATGAAATATTTCTTTGTCAATATATTTTTCTTTAGTGGCGGCATGATTTTTTGCATGGATGGATAAAAGTACCTGTGACTCATGAAACACAGGAAGAGTGTCTTGGGATGGCAGTATTAGATATGATGAGAATAGCCAAAGAAAATGATCAAACCCCTCTGGACGTCTATAGCTCTATCAGGTAATTTCCTGATATGTAAATCCATATACATAAATGGAACTGTTGGAATTTTTATATGATTTATTTGTATTTAATGAACTTCCCTATACTTTTTAATTTTATGATTAAAAGTTGTATGGGTAAATTTTCCTTCTTATGCACAACACACACTTTCTTCCAATTTGATTGAATAATAGAGGCTCGGTGCACGAAATTCGTGCATGGGGGATGTGTGTCCCTCAGCTCAGCCTGTACCCTCTCCAATCTGGGACATCCCTCTCACAATCCAGGACTGTTGGCTCCCAACCACTCACCTGTCTACCTGTCTGATTGCCCCTAACCACTTATGGCTACCAGCCTGATCATCCCTAACCATTCCCTGCCAGCCTGATCAACGCCTAACTGTTCCCCTGCTGGCCCAATTGCCCCTAACTGTCCTCTCCTGCCCTCCCCTGGTAGCCTGGTAGCCCCTAACTGCTCTCCCCTGCAGGCCTGATTGCCCCCAACTGCCCTCCCTTCTAGGCCTGATCCCTCCAAACTGCCCTCTCCTGCTTGCCTGATCACCCACAACTGCTCTCCCTTGCTGGCCATCTTGCTGTGGCTATCTTGTGTCCACATGGGGGAACCCATCTTTGACCACATGAAGGTGGCCATCTTATGTGTTGGAGTGATGGTCAATTTGCATATTACTCTTATTAAATAGGATGGTCATAAACACTGTATAAGTGTAAGATATACAGCATAGTGACTTACATATATTGTGACATGATTACTACTATGAATTCAGTTATAACATCAATCATTTCATATAGATAGAAAAAAGAGAAAAAAATACTTTTCCTTTGTGATGAGAATGCTTAGAATGTACTGTCTTAACAACGTTCATGTATACCATACAGCGGCATAAATTGTAGTCATCATATTGTACATTGCATCTGAGTAGTACTTATTTATCAAAGAAATTATTGAAAGAGTTGGTATAGTATAGAAAATATGATAAGTGTTTGATACCTATTTATTGTTTGATTTATTTATTCTAAAAAGGCTAGGTAAGATCAGAGGACTGAAAAGAGCACCTGGAGTCATAATTTCTACCAGTAGATCCTCACATTTTCTGTATAAATAATTCTGAATCAGAATATCTCTAATAGGGTCCATATTTTACTTGAATTACTATCACCTGAGGCTCCTGTTAAAATGGAAGATTCTTGGGCTCTAACCCAACAATTTGGATTCAGTAAATCTGAGGTGAAGTCTACAAATATGAATTTTTATAAGTGCTCCATGAGATTGAAAAAAATCAGTTTTATTGAAGTATAATTGACATATAAAATTATAAGATATAGTTAATGTAAAAAAAATTCAAACCTGTAAAGAATTTTTGTAGTTGTATCTGAGCCAAACTGTTGACAATTACCAGGAAGCAGTATCTCAACAGATTGGGATAATGCTTCAGAAAATGGTGGGTTTTTCATTAATTTTTATACATTACAATCAAAAGAGGGGATGCAGGTGGGTTACATGATAGATTAGAGAAGTGGGAGAAAGCAAAGCGGGGGGTGTAGGGTGGGGGCAGAAACTCTGGGATTGGATAAAAAGTAAAATGATAGATACATACTTACCTGTCCTCGTGCCCAGGTACATTGGTTGGGACCCAAGGGAAAGAGGGAAGTTACAAGTTACCCAGACATTTCAAGGATATGTTATCATAGGTACAAAAAGACAGATAGGCTCAGTTAAGGTAAAGATTGACCTGGTCAGTGAAGATATTGGCCTGTGACATAACTGCCCACCATAACTGCTTTTAGTTAAAGTTTAATTTCAGGCCATCCTTTGTGGTCATCTTAGGTCTCTGAGATTGCAAGACTGCCATGCAGGCCTTCTCTGAGTTTATCAGGTTAGCATGTGGCCCCTTTCATACACAATATTTAAAGTGTAGATCATCATGATTTGATATACATAGTAAAAGGATCCCCTATGAAGTTTATTAATACATACACCACCTCACATATTTATCTTTTTTGAGTTTTTTTTTTTCTTTCTGGGGAGGGGGAAACGCTTATCAAATTTCACTTATACATATATAGTGGTGTTAATTATAATCACTGTGTTGTACATTAGATCCTCAGATCTTATTCATCTTATAAGTGATTCAGCAAAATCTTACACAAGTAAAGCATACTCCACACTCTTCAAATTATTCTTCTGCACATTGAATTTTGACAATCATGACAAATATAATTTTTTAACATTTATTTTTATTTTTAAATAATTCTTTATTATTGAAAGTATTACCAAGTACAATTTTTGAAACACTACTCCTGCAGCCCAGCTTTTATGGCTGGAAAACTTCCATTCTTTTTAAAGACATATAGGAATATGGGTATATAGTATATAAAATTGCTTTGTGTTTTTTTTTAAAGTCTTAATATGAAATAATATGTCTTAACTATTACATATTTACCAGAGTAAAAATTTGAAGATGCCATGAATCTGGTTAAAACTCCCTTTATCTCTTGACACACTTCTCTCAATGACTGACTTTAGTCACTTCTTTGCTGAGTGTCTGCAAAACAGTTTGCAGGGTATCAATTTCCTGTTTCCCTCTTTGGTTTTAAGTGTACCTTTCTTGCTTTCAGATGTTCATTAAGCCTTAACATAAGGGTAGGGGCTATAGGGCATAATTTTAGGAACTCACTGAGGAATCTAGAAGATTCCAAAGCCCAAAGGAAAAACAGAAACATTTCTTTTTCCCCTAAGGCCTCATTCATTTGTTCATTCATTCACTCATTAACAGTATTTATTGAATGCCTGCTATATACCAGACCATAAAGAACAGAGTCAATGGAGGTATATTTTACATATCATTGATAGAAACTGAAGGAATTGAAGGGAACACAGTTGAAGAACAGAGAAACGTTGAATTTTATAAATATGAAGCCTTTTCTAGGCTTATGCTATGTTGAAACACTTCTGCTTTGGAGACCATGATATTGCCCAAAGTATTGGCATAATCCTGTGGCTTCTTGAGGTCAGGAATCATTCCTTCTCCTTATATTGTTTAATCTAGTGTCCTAAACTCAAGTGAAGGTTTAGTAATTGTATTTCTGTGGTTTTTCTTAATCAGGATATAAATGCATCTGCAAATTCTGCATAATTTTTCTTTTAAAATTATACAGATATCAAACATTCACTATAAAATTTCATGATATTTTAAAAGTTTTATTGATATATATTTCACATACCATAAAATTTACACACTTAAAATGTACAACTCAATATTTTTTATTATTGACTTGTAAGGAGTCTATATATTTAGATACAAGTCTACACATATAAGTTACCATATATATATATGTTTGCAAATATTTTTCTCATACTGTGTATTTTTTTTCACTTTCTTAAAAATAACATTTGTAGCGCCAGAGTGTAACTTTGAAGTAGTATAACTTTTCAGTTTTTTCTTTTGTCTGTTGTACCATGATATATATTTTTTAATATATTTTTATTGATTTTGTACAGTGAGGAAGGGAGAGAGACAGAGAGCCAGAAACATCGATGAGAGAGTCATCGATCAGCTGTCTCTTGCACACCCCCTACTGGGGATATGCCCGCAACTAAGGTACATGCCCTTGACCGGAATCGAACCTGGGACCTTTCAGTCCCCAAGCCGACGCTCTATCCATTGAGCCAAACCGGTTTCGGCTGTTTTAATATTCAATAAGTAATTTATTCCTGTCCTGAAGTTAAAAACATGCCTGCCTTGCTTGCCTTTTTAATATAACTCACTGATCGTTCCTGAATTCTCATTTAGTGCTTATTTTTGAGAAATAAAGACTCTGCTCAGTTTTAAAATATTCAGGAATAATAGGAAAACAGATGAATTATTAGTTTGGGGCAGAATCTACACTAATAAAAGAGAAACATGCAAAGTAACCATTACTCCGCTATACCCACCAACCAATCAGGAGCGAGTATGCAAATTAACCCAACTAAGTTGGTGGCTGCCACAGAGCTGGAGTGAGCAGGAGGCTTGGGTTGCCCCGGGTGATGGAGGAATCCAAGCTTCCCACCCACCCTGGCCAGCCCTGGCTGGCCCTGGCCTCCGCTCAAGGCTACAAAGTTTCAATTATAGAAGATAAATAAATCCCAGATACCTGTTTCCAGCTGGCCCTGACCTCTGCTTAAGGAGGCACTGAAAAAAAGCAAAAGCAAACAAGCCCCTTACCCAGGCTGGCCACACCCCCATGGGGTGAAGATCTCTGCTGGGGCGCTTGACCAGCCTGCAAACAGCTGTCACCCCTTACCCAGGCTGGCCAGGCACCCCAGTAGTAACTAAATTTTTTTTTTTTTCACAAGTGTATATAAAGTAGGCATTGGAATTGGCATTCTGATTGTATTTTAAATCTTTTTTTCCCCATTGTTTTCTAAACTTACTGAGGCTCTCCTATTTGCTGTATAACTTTTTAAAATTTTATGTATTTCTTTACTTATAGATATGTAGTTTCTATGAAAAGGAACAGAATGTGACTTTTAAGGTCTGACAAATGAGTAGAATTTATTATTTATTTATTTTTTAAAAATATATTTTATTGATTTTTCACAGAGAGGAAGGGAGAGGGATAGTTAGAAACATCAATGAGAGAGAATCATCGATCAGCTGCCTCTTGCACATCCCCCACTTGGAATGTGCCCACAACCAAGGTACATGCCCTTGACCAGAATCGAACCTGCGACCTTTCAGTCCGCAGGCTGACGCTCTAACCACTGAGCCAAACTGGTTTCAGCAAATGAGTAGAATTTAATGGGTGGAAAGAAGTGAGTGATAGAAAGGCCTTGTAGCAGAAGGGAGCATAGGAAGACTGAAGAGATTACAAAATATATTGACTATATTCTGCACAGTGAGAAAACCTGAAGTCATTTTCAAGGTCCACCATTTCTTACTTTTCACTGGTAACTATGTCACCTTTCTCCACTTGTGTTCTTATAGCATTTATCATGGAAAAAGGTGGTAAGTTATCTTTTACTTTTGTTTTAGATTTATATTCCAAATGTTTTATTTCACTGTGTGTGTTCTTTATGCCTAGCTATAAGACATTCTTACCAAAATGTATTCGAGCAAAGATCCAAGACTATCATATTTTGACAAGAAAGCGAATAAGGTACCGATTTCGCAGATTTATTGAGCAATTCAGCCATTGCAAAGCCACTGCCAGAAACTTGAAACTTAAGTATCTTATAAATCTGGAAACTCTTCAGTCTGCCTTCTACACAGAGCAATTTGAAGTAAAAGAACCTGGAAGAGGTCCTTCAGGTGAGGAGATTTTTGCAACCATTATAATAACTGGAAACGGTGGAATTCAGTGGTCAAGAGGGAAACATAAAGAAAGTGAAACACTGACAGAACAGGTAATTCTTAATGATATGTTCTCATTCTTTGTTAATTTAAGTAGAATGGCAATAGAAGTAAAGTAATTTTAGTCATTTGACACTTGTCCTTGTCCTTTTCTTCTCTCATTGATAGAAGTGTAAGTGTAGAGGTTATATCTATAGATCTTTTCTGATTGCTCTTAAATATTTTTATTTAATTATTTATGACAAAATAATTAGTAATATTCTTATAGTTTCAGAAATGGCATAAAGTTATTTTTAAGGTAGTTTTGCATCTTTATTTTACTATTGTTTAAAATATTTTTTCTTTTACTATTACTGATATAGGAGGCATAATCATAAAATTTAATATCCTAGAAAAGATTAATTTTTATTTTATGATATATGAAAATTTAGTATGTTTTAGGATTGTATTATAAGTTTTAAAATTTGTTTGTGTCTGTTCTTAGATTATTATTACAGCTTTAAAAATATTCTAGTCTTCATTCTGTGGTAAACTTTTAATTTTCTGACAATTGTTGCTATTACTATTGATTGGATTGAAGAGTACTAGAGCACACTTAAGATTCCTGGCATCTTTTGATGCTCTCATTTTTAAGTCAAAGCAAGATACAGTGTACTCTAGGGTGAATATCGGGGGAGAGAATCCCATTTAATATTTACCTATTGCTATCAATACTTTTTTATCTTAAAAAATTTGTTAATGAATGTTATATCATTCATAAGTCTTACTTTAAAATGGCTCCATAGATTGTTTTTAATTTCAAATACTCTTAATTATAGGATTTACAGTTATATTGTGACTTTCCCGATATTATTGATGTCAGTATTAAGCAGGCAAGCCAAGAAGGCTCAAATGAAAGCAGAATTGTAACTATCCATAAGCAAGATGGTAAAAATCTGGTAAGTTTGCTTTATAACTAAATAATGGTTATGTTATACAGTTTTTGGAAGTATTTATTTATTTAATTTATTTTAATACATTTTATTGATTTTAGAGAGGAAGGAAGAGGGAAAAGGAGATAGAAACATCAGTGATGAGAGAGAATCATTGATTGGTGCCTCCTTCATGCCCCTGACTGGAGATCGAGTCTTCAGTTCAGGCATGTGCCCTTGGCCAGAATCAAATCTGGGATCATTCAGTCCACAGACTGATATTCTATCCATTGATCTAAATCAGTCAGGGATAGAAGTATTTATTTTTAATATCCAAGGTATCTTGTAGAAATTTAATTATAGTTTTAAATATAGCTCTAAATATCAGTTTAGTCAGCTTTTTTATTACATTTAGTTTTTTGTTATCACTTCTGAAACTATCTTCCCATAGAGTTTCTTGTACATTAATGTGTTTTTCACTCATTTTTATGATTAGTAAAGCATTAGCTACTTTTTCTTCCCACTCTGGGTGGCACTAATTCCCTTTGGCTCTTTGTTTGTTTTGTTAATCCTCACCGAAGGATGTTTTTCCATTGATTTTTAGGGAGAGTGGAAAGAGAGAGGAAGACAGAGAGAAACACATCAATTGGTTGCCTCCTGCATTATCCATGACCAGGGCTAGGGTTGGGGAGGAGCTTGCAACCAAGGTACCTGCAACCAAGGTACATGCTCTCAACCAGAATTGAACCCGGGCAATTTGGTCCACAAACTAATGCTCTATTCACTGAGCCAAATTGGCTAGGGCCCTGTTGTAGTTCTTATTCCTGATTATCATCTTTTTTTTTTTTTTACCAATAGATATGTGAATAATACCAGTCATACTGCCTAATTAAAGGAGAGAAAGAAATTAAAACAATACTACCAAGAATTTATATAGCAAAATGTCAGCCCTGTCCAAGCTGTAAAACATGATTGATTCTAAAAGCTTTAACCCTCCCCCTTTTATTAAATATTTTTAAAAATCCCACTTATTTTAATTGAAGTGAAATGTAACTAGACACTAAATAGGTCCAAGGCCAACTGTCATTATTTGAGCCAAATTAAGCAGAGACAAGATTGAATCACATATGAGCGTTTATTCCAATAATGCCAGCAGTATTGAGAAAACAGCAGGTCATCTTGAATATCCTGCTCTCTGACATTTCATTTCAAACAAACTCTTCTGTAGGGTTAGTGGGTGGGGAAAATCTTCAGTTAGTGAGTTCCCAGAGACTGCCTACTTTCCTTGTCCTTGTAAAGATTAGCCCCGAATGCTGCCTCTCTTCAGATAGGTTCTGTCCTTGATCTGGGCTCTGGGATGCCTTATCTCCCAGGCCTGTTCTTCTTGTAACATGTTCTTCAGTTTCCCAGGGTCTGTAAGAAAATCCTCCTCCTCCTTCTTCTTCTTCTTCTTCTTCTTCTTTTTTTTTTTTTTTTTTTTTTTTTTTTTTTTTTTTATGGTGAGTAGTTACTAAACAACCATGATTCTGTTTCTATTACATGCCCCTCCTCTATAAAAAAGAAATACACTCTTTTATACTCTGCTCTTAAATGTCTTATTTATCTGGCTCTATCTTCTTTTCAACTCAGATATTTAACTTCCTGGCTTAAATGTCATATTAGTGTTATTTGTTTAATGTAAGTATCTATATGTACCTCTCTGGCCAGTACAGGTTTATATTACCAAAATTATAATTAACTTGCAACTCAGTCAGCAAGCTTTCGTGTTTTCAGATAAAAATATGATTAATACTGTGCACCTACTCACTACTAGACTTTATAAGATTTTAGTTTATACTTTATACATTTTCACTTATAGAATAAGTACTTTAACTTAGCAGTGTATATTTGATATGTAAAAATAAATCATTATTTCTAAATAATACAAACTTTTGTATTGGATTAGATAGATTTCTAATTGAGATAACTGGCATTTTTCTAATGGGGAAAATATAATAAAATTATGGATGTAGAGTGAACTATAACTAGAAAGGCATGATAAGCCCATATTCAAGAGGGTGTTAAATATTAGACAGAATAATTTATAATTCAAATTGGACCATAAAAGACATTTGCACAATGTAGAAAAAAATTTAGAAGAATTAATCTAACAACATGGGGCAAAAAGAATTTTTGATATGTAGCCTACAGTTGACTTTTTAAATACCTTTTTTTCTTTTCTCTGCTTAGGAAATTGAACTTAGTTCATTAAAGGAGGCTTTGTCTTTTGTGTCATTAATTGATGGATATTATAGATTAACTGCAGATGCACATCATTACCTCTGTAAAGAAGTAGCATCTCCAGTGGTTCTTGAAAATTTACAAAGCAACTGTCATGGCCCAATTTCGTAAGTAAAACAGTTTAAAAATAAATTTTTGTTGTTGTTAATCTTCACCTGTGGATATTTTCCCATTGATTTTGATAGAGTAAGGGAGAGAGAGTTGCCTAGGTGTAGTATTAGATAGGGATAGATGTTCTTGCTTTCATGTAGATTACACTTTGACTTTTCTTTCAAGACATGCAGCTTCAGTAAAACATTTAGCAGATTTTAAAAATCAGTAGTCTTTGTTACTTGGAATGGGTCTTCTTTGGATTATATTAAATATTATAATAATACACATTTATTAATAATTTTTATCTTAGAAATTGCTATGGTAGAAGAGACATAACTGTTTATGATATATTGTTTGCATAAATGAAGTTTTATGAGAGGATTGTTTTTAAAATACTAAGTTTGCAATCAGAAGGCAGAAAATTCAAATGAATGAATTGTTCTTTGGGATTTTGTGTGTCCTCTAATGCCATTGATTTGTTTTTAAAGCAATATAATTGTCCCTTGAATTGGGTTGAACTTAATATTTTTTCCAAACAAGATTATTGATAAAAATAAAGTAGACTAAAAATTTTGAGTTTTAGATTTTACTTTTGATCTTTTAGATGACATCTTGCTATGTTATTATTCACATTACTTCTTTGCCTTTAGAATGGATTTTGCCATAAGTAAACTGAAGAAAGCAGGTAATCAGACCGGACTTTATGTACTTCGATGCAGTCCTAAGGAGTTTAATAAATATTTTTTGACTTTTGCTGTTGAGGTTAGTATATCATACTCATTAATAGTAACATCTTTATTTGATCTATATAATTTTCCTTTCATGTTTAGGTTCCGTATGTATTTCCTTTTTAATAATCTGAATTATAGCTCTGGATATAGCTAGCATAATAATATTTAGTTTACCTCAGGATCCTGCATGTATAATAAATTAGAATTCCTAGGACTTAGCCGAAACCGGTTTGGCTCAGTGGATAGAGCGTTGGCCTGCGGTGTGAAAGGTCCCAGGTTCGATTCCGATCAAGGGCATGTACCTTGGTTGCGCAAGAGACAGCTTATTGATGATTCTCTCTCATCGATGTTTCTAACTCTCTATCCCTCTTTCTTCCTCTCTGTAAGAAATCAATAAAAATATTTTAAAAAAAGAATTCCTAGGATTTATATAAAAATATAAAGTGATTTATAATGTCCTTCTGTCTTTCAATATAGAATTTATTTTACTTCATTTTTTGGTGTGTGAGTGTCATATTGTATTAGTTCTCTTAAAGTCTCTTTTTTCAGAAAAAACACAAATCTTTACCAATTCATATAGAAGACAATAAATCAGAAGTAAACTTTCCTTTTACTAGTAATGGTCACAAGATTTGAGTGAAATAAGGTAATAACAAAGAAAAAGCATTATTGAATTTTTAACTAGTGGTGGGGTTTTTTCTTTCTTTTAAAAAAAAATCCTTACTTTAAATTTATTTATGAGAGAGAGAGAAAGAGAGAAACATCAATTTGAGAAAGAAACATTGATTGGTTGCCTCTCTTACGTTTCCCACAGGGGATTGAACCTGTAACCTAGATATGTGCTCTGACCGGGAATCAAACCTGCAACAACCTTTTGATGTAAAATGCTCCAGTCATCTGAGCCACCCAGCCAGGGCTAACCTCTTTCAAGAATAACAATCTACAAAGTATGTTTTAAGCATAAAACTAAAATGAAACCTCATTTTTAAAAAGCATTTTAAAATTAATTAATTATCAATTGATTTTAAAAAGAGAGAAGCATCAATTTGTTGTTCTGCTTATATATATCAATACAGCATTGGTCAATTCTTGTATGTGCCCTGAACAGGGATTGAACTTGCAACCTTGGCATATCAGGATGATGCTCTAACCAATGAAACCTCACTCTTAATGCAGATTATTTGGATGTCATCTAAGATTGTTTACAATCCAAAATTAGCATGGCACTTGCTTGGAATTTTTTGAGTCACAATATACATAGAACATAGGCTGTATTTTGTTAATTGGCAGAAGTTGAGATTGGAGATGGAGGCAGAATCCTGCTCAAGGAAGGCCATATACACTAAATTGGTTATAGACTTTATCTTATAAGTGATGCAAAACTGTTAAGGATGATATTATTATTGTTAATTATCATTGTTTTTAAAAAAAATAAAGTAAACTTTATTTTACTTTAGCCTATACCAGTGGTCAGCAAAATCATTGGTCAGTAGAGCCAAATATCAACAGTACAACGAATGAAATTTCTTTTGAGAGCCGAAAACCAACTTCTGCGCATGGGCCTTGGAGTTTCAATCACACTGTACGTGCGTGCCCGCACGTGGTATTTTGTGGAAGAGCCACACTCAAGGGGCTAAAGAGTCACATGTGGCTTGTGAACTGCGGTTTGCCAACCACTGGGCCCTATACAATATAGTTCTTTTTGAGGAATCAAGCACCTTTATTACCCACACTGGTACCATTTTAGGATTCATGATTCAAATGTCTAAATATTTTGTTGGTTATTTTTGTGAAATCCATTTTGTAACAGAGTACTCACTATGATGTCTATTGTGATTTTCCCTCCCTCTCTTTATAATTATACTTATATAGCGTGATAATGTCATTGAATATAAGCACTGTTTGATTACAAAAAATGAGAATGGAGAATTCAACCTCAGTGGGACTAAGAAGAACTTCAGTAATCTTAAAGATCTTTTGAATTGCTACCAGATGGAAACTGTTCGCTCAGACAATATAATTTTCCAATTTACAAAATGTTGTCCTCCAAAGCCAAAAGGTAAAATAATTTTCTAGTTATTTTAGAAATATGGATCATGACTTGTGTATATATAGTGATATCTTTAGTATATTGATTTAAAAAGAAAGATGAAAGAAGCAGCTCCATAAACAGATTAATTTTGTCATATTCTTTATAAGAGTGATCAGATTGGTTTAGGTTTTCTAGAAGTGACATGAAGTTCTATAATTCTAAAATGATATTAAAAATAATAATGCTTGATATAAATCAATCATTTATTAATTGAAGTGAAAGACCTCACTACCAAATTCACATATGTGGTTCTAAGTAAACACTTTCATACTCTTAGAATTTTAATTTCTTATATATGTATTTTTAAAAATAACTTTTCATTGTTCAGATTATTACAATTGTTCCTCTTTTTCCCCCACATTGCTCCCCATCATCCAGTTCCTTACCCCCACCACTGTCCTCATCCTTAGGTGTATGATTTTTAAATATATATATATATATCTTATTGATTTTTTACACAGAGGAAGAGAGAGGGATAGAGAGTTAGAAACATCAATAAGAGAGAGTCATCGATCAGCTGCCTCTTGAACATTCCCCACTGGGGATGTGCCCGCAACCAAGGTACATGCCTCTGACCGGAATTGAACCCGGGACCTTTCAGTCCGCAGGCCGACGCTCTATCCACTGAGCCAAACCGGTTTCGGCAGGTGTATGATTTTTGTCCAGTCTCTTTTCGAACTCCCCCACAGCCCTAAGAATTGTTAGTCCACTCCCTTGTTATTCCCCTGATTCTATTGTATTCACCAGTTTATTCTGTTCAGATTTTTTATTCACTTGATTTTTAGATTCACTTGTTGATAGATATGTATTTGTTATCACTTTGTTGTTCATAATTTTTATCTTTACCTTTTTTTCTTCCTCTTCTTAAAGAATACCCTTCAGCATTTCATATAATACTGGATTGGCAGTAATGAACTCCTTTAGCTTTTTCTTATCTGTGACGCTCTTTATCTGACCTTCAATTCTAAATGATAGCTTTGCTGGGTAGAGTAATATTGGTTATAGGTTCTTGCTATTCATCACTTTGAATATTTCTTCAGGCCTGCATACTTTCTGTTGAGAAATCAGCTAACAGTCATATGGGTACTCCCTTGTAGGTAACTATTTTTCTCTTGCTGCTTTTAATATTTTCTTTGTCTTTTGCCCTTGACATTTTAATTATGATGTGTCTTAGTGTGATCCTCTTTGGATTCCTTTTTTTTTTGAGGTTCTCTGTGCTTCCTGAACTTATAAGTCTATTTCTTTCACCAGGTAGGGGAAGTTTTCTGTAATTATTTCTTCAAATAGATTTTCAATATCTTGCTCTCTCTCTTCTTCTGGCACCCCCATAATTTAGATGTTGTTACACTTGAAGTTGTTCCAGAGGCTCCTTGCACTATCTTCATATTTTTTTATTCCTTTTTCTTTTTTCTGTTCCAGTTGGGTGTTTTTTGCTTCTTCATATTTCAAATCTTTGATTTGATTCTTGGGATCCTTAATCTGCTGTTGGATCTCTGTATATTATTCTTTATTTCAGTCAGTGTATGCTTAATTTCTGATTGGTCCTTTTTCATATTTTTTAGGGTCTCACTAAATTTCTCTGAGGTTTCTAGAAGATTCTTGAGTAACCTTATAACCATGGTTTTGAACTCTATATCCAGTAGTTTGCTTTCCTCGATTTCTTTCATTTGTGACCTGTTTCATTGTCTCCGCATTTTGGCTGCTCCCCTGTGTTGATAGTGTGGCTTTGTGTGCTAGGTGTCCTATAGAGCCCAGTGGCTCAGCTTCCCTAATTACCTGAGGTAGACATTCTTGGTGCATCCCTTTGTGGGCTGTGTGCACATTCTTGTTGTAGTTATGCCTTGATTGCTGTAGGTATCACTGTGAAGAATTGACCTCCAGGCCAGTTGACTGTGAGGAACAGTTGTATCTACAATGGGAGGACTTCTATGCTGGACTTGCTTCAGTGAGGCTTTGGTGCTCACTGAGGGTGTCTCTTATTGATGTGAAGAGTTGTAATCTGGATGGTCTCACTCTGACCACTGGATACACTGGCTCTTGGATCTCCAAGGAGGTGCAAAGTCAGCCACTCCCTGAGGCCACCCAGCAGGAACTACAGAGAAATCTGGAGATTCCTTCTTTTTGTGTGGGGTTTGGAGGTGCCCAGATGAGGCCTAGTTGTGAAGCACTGCAAGCTGTTGTCCAGCCTTGGGCCTTCTTTTGGAAGCTCTGGGGCTCTCTGACCCAGATGCAGTTTGTTAGGTTTTAGATTGCAAAAGGCCAGGCCACTCATATGCGAAAACCTCTGTGCACAGCTTGGGTGGGTAAATTGGGTGGGGTGGGATCTCAGGGTGGAGCAAACAGAAATGGCTGACTATCAGCCCTGCCCCAAAGAGGCTCTCCTGTCTCTGTGTCCCACAGCACCATACAGGAACAATGATCGCTGCAAGCACCTCTGAGAGAAAGCCGCCCTCGTGTTCTGGCCTGATGCCAGACAGTCCAGTTTCTCTCCATATGAGTCTGGGTCCCCAGAGTCTCGCTGGGACCTGGAGTTCAGTGCAGTTGGGAGCTTGCATCTCCCTCCTGACTAAAAAAGACAACAGCTGTATCTAGTTGCCAGCCCTTTTTCTGCGCATACCTCTGTACCTCCACACTTCATTTCTGCACCTCTGCACCTCCTCCCAGTCTCAGTGTGCTTTTCTCTTTCCTTCTAGTTGTATAAATTCCACTCAGCCAGCCTTCCCATGGTTCTGGATGTTATCCATTTTGTCTTTTAGTTGTAGTTTTGATATGGTTGTGCATGGCAGCAAGTTCAGGTGTTTACCTATGCTGCCATCTTGGTTGTGTCTCTTATTTCTTATACTTTTAAAATAAAAATACTAAGATTGGAAATCTCATGAAATAATGATTATTAAAAATTATTAAAATTCCTGAAAATTTATATTAGCTATGGAAGTGAATAATTTTGAATATTTGAAATAACTGGTTAAGGTACATTAAAGTTCAGTGAATAAGATGCTAAAGTAAATTTTTATGGAAAAAATGAACAAAGTTATAAGAATTTCTTATATTTAGAACACGCTTTATTTTACTGCTTTGGAGAACTTTATGTCCTCAGCATGTTTTGATTATATGTTTTTCATTATTTCTTTTTTTTCTTTTACAGATAAATCAAACCTTCTAGTCTTCAGAACAAATAGTGTTTCTGATGTACCAACCTCACCAACATTACAGAGACATAATAATGTGAACCAAATGGTGTTTCACAAAATCAGAAATGAAGATTTAATATTTGTAAGTCATTAGATGCTGATTATGATCTTTCTTGTCCTTTTAAAATAACAAATGTTCTCCACTTATATCCATGTGACATTTGGAAGTATTTTATTATAGTCTACATTAATTTTTTTGCACTTTAGATATTTTTATTTCTTGTGAAAGTGTAATACCAAACTTGAGTGAGAAATTAATAAAAATATTTTAAGAAGGAAATTGTATTTTTTACAGAATTTTAAAATTTTCTTTATAAATCTTAAATTAAAAATCTTCTTCTATAAAAAACCTATATCTTAATTCTCAAATTGTAGAGAAAGTAAGAAAAATTTAAGGGATTAAAAAAGAAACTGAAAACAAAGTAGTACTTAAGATTTGATGGGTATACAATGATTGGGGTTGGTATTGGTCTCACTAATCAAGGAGATTAAGATCTAAAAGTAGGGCCAAGTCTTAAGGCCTAAAGAAGAGCAAGAGTTAAAAATGGGGCCATGTTTGAATAAAGCCAGGACCTTCAAATAAATACATTCTCAGTAAAACAATATGTGGAATGTGAAAAGTCACTCACTAGCAAAAGGGGAAGAGAAGTGTTATTTTAGGTGGGCTCTTAGGAAAATATGTCTCTCCTGAGAATTTGTAATCATAGACTTTTGAGTTTGGGTTTCTTTATGCCACCCACCTGATCTAGGCTAATAAATTAATATAAAAAATGATACTCCCCTAGTAATACCTTGTAGTGCTTGGAGGAAGCAGAAGGAAAATCTTTTTGGAAGAACATACTCTTAACCTTGCTCACTCAGAAGTCTACTTATGAAATGACTCCAAGCATGAGCTTTTTTTTTTTTTTAATCCTCCCCGAGGATATTTTTTCATTGATTTTAAGAGAGAGTGGAAGAAAGAGGGAAAGAGAGAAATATCCATGAGATAGGAACACATCGTTTGGTTGCCTCCTGCATGCATCCTGACCAGGGCACAGGGAGCAGGGGAGCCTGTAACTGAGGTATGTGTCCCCTACCCCCACTGGAATCAAACCCGGGACCCTCAGTCCAGATACTCTATGCACTGAGCCAAACTGGTTGGGTCAAGCATGAGCTTTTAATTGAAACAATTAAAAGGGAAATAGCCTAAGAGTAAGAAGACCAATAAATCTCTTTTAGAAAGAGATTTTAAAGTTAATTTTTAAAGATATAAAAGGCAGTGGAAGCATTTTTTAAAAAGAATAAAAATATTTAGAGTAGAAAAATATAGAAATGAAAAATCATACTCCTTGATAGAGATACAAAATGAACAGGTTAATAAGCAGATTCCCTTTAATTGAAAAGATAATTAGTGAATTGGAAAATAGATCTGAAAATTTTTCAAGTTGAGCAGAATGAGTAAGAAAATGATCAACTCATGTCCACGTTCCATAAAGAGACAGTAGATATAATTATCAAGAATTGTAAAGATATGCATCCTTAGGTAATAATGGGAAGCAGAGAGTTACCAGGTAACCTAATGTAATAAAACTAATAATAGTAGACTTTCAGTTTGAACATAGGCAGTCCTGCTTCAGAGTTCAGGGTTTCAAAAATTACACTGGAAGGATGTATAAGAAATACTAATAATAGCTAATTATTTAGCATTTACTATGTCTCATAGACTATACTAAGTGCTTTCATGTATTTATTTACTTATTTCTCCTACCAATCTATGGAAAAATAGTTACTCCTTTTCCTCCAATGAGGAAAAGACAGCTACAGCAGAGAGAGAGAGATTAAATTGCCTGTACAGGGTCAAACAACTAGAAGATGGTAGGTAATATGGAACAAATCAGATATGCTGCCTCTACAGACCATACTGTACTGCCATTCTACTGCACTAGTAGGAAAGGCAACAACAACAAAATTTCACATGTAAATAAATGTAGGTAAATAAAAATAAATGTAGGTAAATATAGGTGATAATTATAGCCAATCCAGCGGGTTTAAGAACAGATGGAACCAAAGTACACTTTATTCATTAATCCTTTGTTTGTTTTTTATTACTGTATAAGGAAGCAGAATATAATTAATTCAGACTCTTAAATCTGGGAGATATTTGCTAATGGACTTTTTTTTTTTATTCTTTGTCATTGAACATTTTTTCTAATTTTCACATCTTTATCCATCTTTACTCATATTTTTCTTTCCTTTCTTTTAAAGAATGAAAGTCTTGGCCAAGGCACTTTTACAAAAATTTTTAAAGGTGTAAGAAGAGAAGTAGGAGATTATGGTCAACTGCATGAAACAGAAGTTCTTTTAAAAGTTCTGGATAAAACACATAGAAACTATTCAGAGGTGTGTATGCTTTTTATGTAGTTTATTTAGTTTATGATATTTAAAGATGCGGTCTTATTATGCACACAACACATCATGCTTGTAGCTTTTATATCAATAAACTTTCTAAGGATACTTTCTAGTGTGGCTATAGAAAATTATAGAATCCTAGAGGCCTGATGCATGACATTTGTGCACTGCGGGGGTTGGAGAGAGGTTCCTCAGCCCAGTCTGCGCCCTCTCCAAGTCCAGGACCCCTCGGAGGATGTTCAGCTGCTGGGTTAGGCCTGCTCCCCAGCAGGTGGGCATTACCCGAAGGGTCCTTAGTGCTACTGCAGAGGTGGGAGAGGCTCCCAGTACCCCACCACTGTGCTCGCCAGCCACGAGCCCAGCTGCTGGCTGAGCGGCCATCCCCCTGTGGGAATGCACTATAACCACCAAGGGGCAGCTCCTGCATTGAGCATCTTTCCCGTGGTGGTCACAATGCATCAGAGTGACTAGTCATTTGCCTTTTGGTTGATTTGCATATTAGAATTTTATTATATAGGATTTTTATAATAACACTAGTGGCCTAATACATGAAAATTTGTGCACTGGGGGAATGGAGTCTCTCAGCCCAGCCTGCCCCCTCTCACAGTCCGGGAGCCCTCAGGGGATGTCCTACTGACGGGTTAGGCCCCGCTCCCTAAGCCACAGTCTGGCCTCCCTCTGCAGGAGGTAACTGGCTGATCAGGTTGCCTGAGTCTTGGGTCCTCGCAGCAGCTGCCGCCATCCGCCATCTGAGGCCTGCCTGAGCCTCGGGCCAGTCATGGCAGTGGTAGCCGCCATCCACAGATTGCCTGAGCCACAGGCAGCTACTGTGACTTTGTCCAGAAGATGTCTGCTCTAATTAGTATATTATCCTTTTATTAGCTTAGATTTTAAAACTAATTTCTTTTGGCATTGTATTAAGGTTATCATTACATCTCTGTATAAACTAAGGGAATGGTTTTCAGATTTGGTTCCCAGATTTCTTTTTTTTGGGGCTTCACAGATTTCTTTCATATTTTAATCTACTTAAAAATAAAAAGAGAGAGAGTTTAGCTTTGGTCTGTGTGGCTTGGTTGGGCATTGTCCTGTGCACCGAAGGGTTGCTGGTTTGGTTCTTGGTTGGAGCACATACCACTTTTGCAGGCTTGATCCCCAGTGGAGGGTGTGCAGGAGACTGATCGAAGCTTTGCTCTCACATTGATGTTTCTATCTCTTTTTTCTTCTCCATCTAAAAATCAAATTTTAAAAAATGTTTGTACTATGAAACAGTCTGGTTGAAATACGGATTGCAGAGATACAAGCCCACAGCAACCCCGCTGCCATTTGCCTTGAGTTCTTAGCATAGCAAGACATCACCATTTGTGATGCTTAAAATATCTTAAGGGATGTTAGTAAGAAGAGGATGTGAAACATATAAGTCAAAGAGTTGTTCTAATCCAGAGCACCACAATGTTGGTGAATGTAATTCTCACTAGCTATAGCCAGAAGTTCTAGTCCAAGTTTAGTTGAGTTAGAGTGATGTTAATACCATGCTAATCTCCCAATATAATTGTCATATTTTATATGCAGAGATAACTTTTTTGTTTTAAATTTAAATCATTTTCAATTTTCAATTACAGTTGCCATACATTATATTAGTTGTAGGTGTACACTCCAATTCCTTACTAAGTCTTATTTGAAGCTCCCACCCATTTACTTCAATCTCATATCACTATCTCTGGTGTCTACTTCTGTTTGAACCTCTGTCTTCTACTCTAGGTGTCATTGGTCTAGGCCTGTTTATCTTCCATGTTTATCTGCCTTGTCACTATTGCTCTTTTTTCATGGCTATCTTCTGTTCCAGCTGTATTGAGGGGTTTCTTCAGAGTGAACTCTTGCATTAAGATTGGTGGCATTGCAAGACCATATAAGGGGACTAAAGCACTTGGTAGCCTTACGTATGTATTCTGCAGAGAAGAGGAGAAAGTGCATTTCTCTACGTCAAAGAATATCTTTCTGAACTGTGAATACTTATAGGCACAAACAATAATTTTTTTGCATTTTTTGTATGGTTGTCTTTTCCTTAGTCTTTCTTTGAAGCAGCAAGCATGATGAGCCAGCTTTCTCACAAGCATCTGGTTTTAAATTATGGAGTATGTGTCTGTGGAGAGGAGAGTAAGTAAATCTCTACTTCTTTATGTTAAAGTTATAGCTTTCTCAGTACATCATTTTTTTAATATAGAAAATTTATTTTCAGGATCATAGTTATGTATCAGTATAAACTATAGTTTTATTATAATAGGAATTAAATATTATTAAAACCAAAAACATTATAGAACTGTTCAGTTAGGCCTTCTAAAAAAGGAAACTAATGAGTGGAATTAAAATGCAGAAAATTGTTAATATGGCTTATGTTAAACAGTAGAGTATTATAATAAACATTGTTTACTAATCTTTTACCATAATATATAAGGTTGGCAAAAGTAGGTATATACAGTTGAGTATTCTAAATGAAGTTTATTCTTTCTTGTATATTATTTGTTAATTATTGTATTATTTTTCCATATGAACAACTGTAAACCTAGTTTTATCCAACCCTGTAGATTATGGTGATTTACATAATAATGGAATAACTGGACATTTCTGTACCATTTATTTGGAATTATAAAGATAAAGCATATTGCCGAAACCGGTTTGGCTCAGTGGATAGAGCGTTGGCCTGCGGACTCAAGGGTCCCGGGTTTAATTCTGGTCAAGGGCATGTACCTTGGTTGCGGGCACATCCCCAGTGGGGGATGTGCAGGAGGCAGCTGGTTGATGTTTCTCTCTCATTGATGTTTCTAACTCTCTATCCCTCTTCCTCTCTGTAAAAAAATCAATAAATATATATTTTTTAAAAAGATAAAGCTTATAGCCGAACTGGTTTGGCTCAGTGGTAGAGCATCGGTCTGCGGACTGAAAGGTCCCAGGTTTGATTCTGGTCAAGGGCATGTACATTGGTTGCGGGCACATCCCTGGTGTAGGGGGTGTGCAAGAGGCAGCTGGTCGATGTTTCTCTCTCATCGACATTTCTAGCTCTCTATCCCTGTCTCCTCCTCTCTGTAAAAAAATCAATAATAAAAAAAAGATAAAGCATGTAAATTATAGATTGATTAAAAAAATAGTTCATTGATTTTTAGAGAGAGGTTAAGGGAAGGAGAGGGAGAAACATCGATGTGAGAGCACATTGATCAGCTGCCTCCTGCACATGCCCTGCTGGGATCATGCCTGCAACTTGGGCATAAACCCTGACTAGGAATTGAACTGGCAACTTTTCAGTGTACAGCACGATGCCCAACCAGCTGAGACACACTGGTTAGGCCTAAAATGATTTTGAATGAAACTGACTGAAATTATTAGATGTTGATATTAGATATATTCTATGTCTAAATTTAGACTTCATAAAAACTCACAAGGTTTACATTCAGAAACTTTCTATGTAATTCCCATTTTTTATTAATAATGTAGATTAGATATGCATCACACTCATATAACAATGCTTCATATATTTGAATATTGATAATATTTTCAAAGGCAATGGCTTTCAAATCTGTTTTCTGGAAGTTCCTCAGTTATTTCAGAGGAGTTAATAAAATGACTATAAATCTAAGTGCAGTAGTGGGGAGTTTTTCCCATTTACCACCAACTAGAGTGGTTCTGTATTTATCTCTCTTATTTATTGATGTTTCCCATAATTTTTTACTTGGGGAGGATATACTTAGAGCATATAATTCCAATTCTTACACCTTTTTTTAATATTTACTTCATTGTTTCTGTGATGTACTCTTATCATTTAAAAAAAATCTAAAATTGAGAAGCTGTGATATAATTGATGGCATATCAATTTCATGGGTACTTTTTTCTTATATAACATAAAATAAGGGGACATGATAATATGTGGTATCTATGAAAAATAGTAAGTCTTAAATGTCACATAAAAAAGATTTATTAAGCTCTTGTTCATTGCAAAATTGCAACTACTAGATCTTTCCTGGATATTTCCCCTGACAAATTTACCTGTAGGCATTTTTCTAAAATTAAATTTATTGGGATAAATTGGTCAGTTTTTAAATAGTGGTATGTGGATTGTTCTCCAAATTAACTATGGGCAGCAAAACTTTAATTGTTTGTGTTACTCAGCAAGGTCCAAAGGCAACTTTTTCAGTAACAGTTATTACATACCAAATGAAAACTAAGTCATTTTATTATTTTTATTTATTTATTTATTTATTTATTTATTTATTTATTTATTTAAAATATATTTTATTGACTTTTTACAGAGAGGAAGGTAGAGAGATAGAGAGCTAGAAATGTTGATGAGAGAGAAACATCGACCAGCTGCCTCCTGTACACCCCCCACCGGGGGATGTGCCCGCAACCAATGTACATGCCCCCGACTGGAATCGAACCTGGGACCTTTCAGTCCGCAGACCGACACTCTACCACTGAGCCAAACCGATTTCAGCTGAAAACTAAGTCATTTTAATATTAAATCAAGCAGCATTACAATTTGAGATTAGATCTACAGTATGCATTTTAAAGCAAATATATGAAATATAGGCATATACGAAGTTTATAACTTACCGGGCCATGAGCTAACATTGATAACAATGTGAAGTCTGTGAGAATTCCTTCAAAAATATATATCATTATGCCATGTTAACAATTTTTTTACTTGAATTTTTGTAGGTTTTATTTTGTATCTTAATTTTCCACTATTTAATTTTGAAAACACTATGCTTGATAAAAACAAAATATCAATAAGTTCAAATTTGAAATCAAGAACTTAAGCTTACTCTTTTACAAATTATTACTAGTAGAATGTAAATAATCTCTAAACCCAGTTAATTATTAAATAACCTGCATTTATGTAGAAATAGTCTTGTCTTTAAGGAACTAAGTCAATGCTAACAAGGTTGGTAATTTTTACTGTTTCATAATGGCAGTTAGCACTTTTTTTAAGAGCAAATACTTGCTTGTCTGGAAAAATATATCTTAATAGTATTTTTAAAAAATAGTTTTAAAGATAAAGCAATGCAAAACAGTTTTTTTACAGCATAAATTAAAGAATGGATGTAGTTCAAACTCAAATGTTCCTTTATACCTCCAATAGAATAGACATTATTATTAATTTTTGTGTGTGGAAGAAGAATTCAGGAAGTTTTGAATGTCTAAATAGTTTCGTGGAAGAAAAATTAATAATGTGAGACATTTTTATTTGCTTTAAAAAAGCAGACATAATTCAGTGATGACACATAGAGGTGTGCTGAAGTATTATTTTATATGTGTGGGGGTATGTAAAATGTATATAATTATGAAATGTTTATGTACATATATATAATGCATTTATTATGTATATATATATTACTGTGTATTATTTATTACTATGTGTAATGCATATTATGTATAATATTTTACATATAAAAATGTAGATTCCTACTTCTTGCTGTTGTGAATAAACTAACACCTCTTTCTGAATAGTATGCAGCTGATCAGCTTTTAAAATTAGTGAGTTATATGTATTTTAATCTCTTTTCCTATAATACCCACAGGTAACTATAATATGTTTATACAATTTCAAGTTATATATATTTTGTATGTGTACTTGAGCCTTATCATTATTATATTTTAATGCAGATATTCTGGTTCAGGAGTTTGTGAAATTTGGATCACTAGATACATATTTGAAAAAGAATAAAAGTTCTATAAATATATTATGGAAACTTGAAGTGGCTAAACAATTGGCATGGGCCATGCATTTTCTAGTAAGTAATTAATATATTCTTTAAAAAAATCATCGAAGGATATATTTTATTGGTTTGAGAGAGAGAGAGATAAGAGAGAGAGAGAGAGAGAGAGAGAGAGAGAGAGAGAGAGAGAGAGAGAAGGAAGGAGAGAGAGAGCAGGAGAGAGAGAGAGGGAGGGGGGGAGAGAGGAAGAGAGAAAAACATTGATGTAAGAGAAAATATTGATTGGCTGCCTCCCATACATGCCTGACTGAGGCTCAAACCTGTAACCTTTTGGTGTATGGGATGACACTCCAACCAACTGAGCCACCCAGTCAAAGTAGTAGTATATTCTTCATCAGGAATTTATTTTGTTTAGTGAAGCAATGTAGAAAGGATCTTGACCTGGAAACAAGAAATAAATCTGTAAATGGATGCTGACTTATTTAAAATAATCTGTTTTATGAAAGGTATTATTTTAGGCATATATTTATTTATGTAAAGTCACTTTTATTGTAAATAGTTCTGTCATTTCACCAATCTCTTAAAATTGAAGACACACAATCTAAGGTTTATGCCACTTGTGTTTAAAGAATTTAACAAAAAATTATGCAGAAATGTGCTAACTCTGGATAGCAGAAAACTCCTTAGAATATACTTTGTTGTAGTGTTTGTGGGCAATTAGAAATTATGTCCAATAAGAAAACAATATTTCTGGAGAAACACAATACCAGAGGGCCAGCTAGGGATCAGACTCCTCAGAGCACACCTATATTCTGCTGCTGAAAATAAATAGTATTTCTCTCAGCCACTGCCTAAAATTAGGTACTACTTAAAATCTCAACTTTAGAAAGTGAAGTGGCGTTGGTTAGTTTTAATGTATTTGTTTTATTCTGGGCATGGATTATTGTGTCATTTAAAATGTAAAACAGGAAGCACAGTGTTGCCATAAAATTTCCGTTTATTATCTCAAAGCATACCTCCAAATTAATGTTTGTTAATTAATAGTCTTATTTTTCTTTTTAAAATCCATTTGGGGCTTAAGACATATTAAATGTTCATATATTTGTGGATTGGTATTTGAATGTATTTATATTTTACTCTTAATAGGAAGAAAAAAACCTTATTCATGGGAATGTGTGTGCCAAAAACATTCTACTTATTAGAGAAGAAGACAGGAAGGCAGGAAATCCTCCTTTCATCAAACTTAGTGATCCTGGCATTAGTGTTACAGTTTTGCCAAAGGACAGTAAGTTCTATAGGGATTATATATTTTATTAAGCTTTACTTGGAGGGTTGCATAAACAACATGTTATTTTTTCTTAAACCATTTTATTGGCATGTTCTTGATTAATAATAAAATGTATCTACCATTTTTAGCAATCTCAATTAAGTTATAGTTACATCTTAGTCTCTGTCCATTTGTCCTTATAAACATGTTACTCGGTTTTAGTGCTAATTCAATATCATCAGGAATCCCCATTTGGGATATGGTGAAAAAGGAAATTTTATTAGTGTAAAACAGCTTAATTGTGATATAGCACTGCTATGAATACAGCAAGGTTGTGAGGCAACTCTGGGGCCAGGCCCCTCTCTGGCTAGACAGCTCTGCTCTGCTCCTTGATGGTCTGGCTCTGCTCTGTGCCAGTCTGCTTTGCACTGTGCTAATCTGCTGTGCCCGTGCTTGGTCTGCTCTGTTCTGTGCAAATCTGCTCTGGCCTGCACTGGTCTGATCTACGTTCTCTGCTGAGAAGCCAGGGAAGTGCAGTTTCTCAGTATTTGAAGGATATAAAAAGTGCCTTCTAGAGCCAGAGGGGAGCTGGCTTATATAGACAGAAGTTCCAGATCCTGGACCTTGTTTGGTCTGTCCTGATGCAAATGAATACTCTTAATCCTCACAGTTTGATTGGTCCAAAAAGCACTGTCCTTACTGATCAGAATAGAGCCCTCTGATTGGTTGCAGCTGCACAGGTCTATTGGATGGGAAAAATTTTAGTCTTGTGGTTGAAATATGATTTTAGGAACTCCTTTATAAGGACTAACTCAAATGGCAGAAATACAATGCAGCAATCAATTCAGTGCAGAGGCTAGCAGGATAGTGTAGACGTCTTTCTAAAGTGCAGTTTGCATGAGAGCCCTTGTACCGAAATGGCTGGGTTTTTTGTTTTTAAATTTGAGCCCAGTTAGCTATCAGGAGCCCCTCTTAGTAGGCATCTTCTTTTATCAGGTTCACAGGACTATAAAATAATGTTTTAATAATTACTTTATTGTTGGAAGTATTAGAGATGTTCCTCTTTTTCCCCCACTGACTCCTTCCAGCCCTCACCCAACCCCACCCCTGCCTTCCCTTTGTGATTTGACAGTCTGTTCTATACTTCTATACCTCTGGATCTATTTTGTTCATTATTTTATTTTGTTCTTTGGATTCCACATATTAGTGAGATTATGTGATACTTGTCTTTCTCTGACTGGCTTATTTTGCTTAGCTTAATACTCGGCAGGTATAAAATGTCCATACTTCCCAAAACAATTTATAGATTTAATGCAATTTCTTTTAAAATACCAATAGCATATAACACAGATCTAGAACAAATACTCCAAAAATTTATGTGGAGCCAAAAAGACCCTTCAGAAAGAAGAACAAAGTTGGAGGGATCACAATACCAGATATCACGTTATACTAAAAGCCACTGTTCTCAAAACTGCCTGGTACTGGCACTAGCACAGGCCTATAGATCAATGGAACACAACAGAGACCCCCACAAATCAACCCAAGTCATTACTTTTAATTTTTGACAAAGGAAGCAAGAGCATACAATGGAGTCAAGATAGTCTCTTCAATAAATGGTATTGGGAAAATTGGACAGGTACATGCAAATACATACATACATACATACATACATACATAAAACTACACCACCAGCTTACACCATGCACAAGAATAAACTCAAGCCCTAGCCAGATTGGCTCAGTGGCTAGAGCATCGACCTGCGGACTAAAGGGTCCCAGATTCAATTCTGGTCAAGGGCACATGCCTGGGTTGTGGGCTTGATCCCCAGTCAGGGGCGTCCAGGAGGCAGCTGATCAATGATTCTCTCTCATCATTGATGTTTCTATTCTCTCTCTCTCATTTCCTCTCTGAAATCAATAATAAAAAAAATTTTTTTTTAAAAAAAAGTAACTAAAAATGAAGAAAAGACTTAAGTTGTGAGGCCATAAAAATCCTAGAAGAAACCTACAGGCAGCAAAATTTCAGACATCTCTCCTAACAATATGTTTGCTGATATATCTCCTAGGGCAGTGGTTGGCAAACTGCAGCTCACAAGCCACATGCGACTCACAAGCCGAGGTTTGCCGCTCTGTTGACTGAGGAGTTTACAGACCACTGTCTTAGGGCAAGGGAAACAAAAAAGAAAAAAAACAAATGGGACTATATCAAAATAAATAGCTTTCACACAGCAAAAGAAACCAACAAAATGAAAAGGGTGTTCATTATATGGAAGAATGTATTTGCAAATGATACATTAGCTAGAGATAATTACTTTGTTGTTGTTTTTAATCCTCACCCAAGGATATTTTTCCATTAATTTTTAGAGCAGAAGGGAGGGAGACAGAGATAAACATTAGTGTGAGAGAGACACATTGATTGGTTGCCTCCTGCATGTGCCCCAACTGGGCCAGGGATTGAGCCTGCAACCTAAGTATGTACCCTTGACTGGAATTGAACTTGTGACACTTCAATCCCTGGGACAATGCTCTATCCACTGAGCCAAACTGACTAGGGCTGATAAAGATAATTTTAAAAAACAGTGTTAATCCCTAATTATGTATGAAAGATCGGATTTTATTCATTTTTATTTATTTATTTTTACATTTATTTATTTAGAGACTATGATAATATGTGAAAATATTAGCTATATTTCTGAATATTTCCTTAGAGTAGATCACTACAGTGCAATTATTAGATCAAAAGATGGGAACATTTTAAGGCTCTCAATACAAATCATCAGAGAGCCCTCTGAAAAAGTGGTACTCAGTGACCTCAGAGGGCTTTCAAGCATTGGAGAGCTCTTAATATGTTAAAATCACACCTCACTGTTTTGCTCTGTTGTTCTGTGATTATTCATAACACTAAAGAGTTTTTCATAAATTTATTGAATATTTCTAATTGTTTTATTTATTTTCATTTTTAAAATATATTTTTATTTCAGAAGGGAGGCAGAGGAAGAAACATCAATGATGAGAGAGAACCATTGATCGGCTGCCTCCTGCACACCCATCGTGGGGCTAAAGCCTGCAACCCAGTCATATACCGTGACTGGGAATCAAACCATGGCCTCTTAGTTCATAGGTTAATGCTAAACCACTTAGCCACACCAGTGGGCATGTGTTTGTTTTTTACTGCACTGTTTCTTCACATCTTTTGTTCATTTTTCTTTTTGGGTCTTAGTGAATTTTTTTTTATATCTGTGTATTTTTCATGAAACAATTTGGCTAACCTTTCTCATTTTGATTGAATTCTTTACAATCCTGATTTACCTTTTAATTTTTTAACCTTAAAATTGTTTAAATATGAAAATTTATTGATAGTTTTTTTTTTATAATTTCCTCCATTGCTTTTATACTTTGAAAATTCTTTCCAATCAACAGATCAAATATTTACCTAAATGTTTTTTCTAAATATTGTATGTTTTTTTGTTTACATGTTCTGTTCTTTGAACTGGAGTTTATTTTGATGTTGTGCAATGTATCTAAATTGGCATTTTTTGGAATACTTAGCCAGTTTTACCCTCTGTCTCTTTGTTATTATGATAATTAATAAGTCCTTTCCTTTGTCATCTAGTGCATTCCTCTAAATATTGGGATTATTCTTTAGATGTGTACTTCTCATACCTTTGTCAAATGACTTTTGTTTTCTTTACTACTTTATACACAATTTTTAAACACCAGTTTTAATTCCTAATTATGTATGGAAGTGCAGGTTTTATCCATTTTTGAAGTAAATTTTTCTATTATTCTTTGAGCCACAAGTAAATTTTCTAAATTTTTCTTTCCATAGTCACTAAATAAAAATTTGAGAAGATATGTTTATGTAGTTTGAGTTTTTATTTAGTTTAATTCAGCTACTCCTGACTTTTAAAAGCTTTTTTAAAAATGCACACACATGCCAAAACCAGTTTGGCTCAGTGGATAATCTGTGGACTGAAAGGTCCTGGGTTTGATTCCGGTCAAGGGCATGAACCATTTTTGCGGGCACATCCCCAGTAGAGGGTGTGCAAGAGGCAGCTGATCGATGATTCTCTCTCATCGATGTTTCAAACTCCCTACCCCTCTCTCTAAAAAAAAATAAAAATAATTTAAAAAAAAATAATCAATATATATTTTTTAAAAAACAACAAAAAAAGAAACGCACACAAAAAAACAAAAAACAAAAAAACACCAAAAAAATATTTCTTTTATGTTTGTTAACCTACTTACCATGTTTAGTTAAAATGGAAATTCAGTTTAATAGTTGAGAGGAGTTATTTTGGTCCAAATAATGTAACTGTATTTCATTATCTTACCTAATTTCTCCAATCAAATGTTCTAAATTTAGAATCAAAGTTGACCAACTTTTGTGCATTGATTTATGGTATCCTGAACCAATAGTACTTAAACTTGATGGCTTATCTAACAGTGAAGAGATATTATAAGGCAGAAAATGTTATAGAATCTTAGACCTGGTACTCAGTGAAATTTTACCCTCTGGAATGGGATGTGACGAAAGAGAAAATGTGTTCATATGGTGAAGGAGGAAGGCACATGTACTCTTTGAATATACCAAAAAAGGCAACAGATTTTATCCTTTATTTTTTTCTATCTATCTACCTACCTACCTACCTACCTACCTACCTACCTACCTACCTATCCACCTATCCCAGAATACCAGAAGGTGAAGTTAAAGTGCTCTTTTCTGAATACTGTTTTTTGAGGATATTTCATGGTCTGTACAGAACCCACATATATTGATTCTGTACCTGTATATCTTACTAAAACTTAGTCATTCATCTGCCTATTGGTCCTTATTTTTTTATCAACCAAATAGAACTACCACTACTATTTAAAACAGATTAGAATGATGCTCACTTTACCCTTACTACTTAAATATTGTAAAAAAAAAACAAAAAAACCCACAAAAAATATCAAGAGACAATTTTAAGATAAATTGTATGGAAAAAATTTTTTTGAATGCAAAATAAATAGGAATGGGTAAAGAGACACTATGACAATGCAGCAATTTTCAACCTTTTTTGTCTTATGGCACATAAACTAATTACTAAAATTTTGTGGCACACCAAAAATATATTTTTTTGCTGATCTTACAAAAAAAAAAAAGTATAACTTTGATGCATTCACACGGGATGTCTATTGTTGTGTTGGCTGTTGTAATTTTTTATTTGACAGTTTAAGGAAAAGAGGTCATTGCCCCTGACTAAGTAGTCAGGTATTACATGTTTTAAAAATTCTTGGGGCATATGGGCTTAAAATTGGTGATTTATGGGAAAAAGTTTAGTTGACCCAGGATTTGTTGTATAGGATTCTAATTCTCTTAGTGATAATAACAAACTGTGTGTTTTTGGGTAAATTATTCAGTCTTTATGGATCTCAGTGTTGTCTTTGTTAAAAATGAGATCTTAAATTAGATGATTATTCAAATCAGTTTGAAAATTATTTGCATATAAAAGAATTACTTATGAGAACCATTTAACCATATTATGTTCCTATCACTTAAAAGTTCTTCAAGAGAGAATACCATGGGTACCACCTGAATGTATTGAAAATCCTAAAAACTTAAACTTGGCAACAGACAAATGGAGTTTTGGTACCACTTTGTGGGAAATCTGCAGTGGAGGAGATAAGCCTCTCAGTGCTTTGGATTCTCAAAGAGTAAGTTTATATAGACTGTGGGGTTGGATTAATTTTGTGATCCTTGATGATTCTCTTTTACACGATTTTATATTTTTTAGCCCATCTAATGTTAAAAAAGAAGGAGTTGATAAGGTATTACACAATTCTTAATGTGTGGTTCTTTAATTATAGAAGCTACAGTTTTATGAAGATAGACACCAGCTTCCTGCACCAAAGTGGACAGAACTAGCAAATCTTATTAATAATTGTATGGATTATGAACCAGATTTTAGACCTTCTTTCAGAGCCATCATACGAGATCTTAATAGTTTGTTTACTCCGGGTATGTATTGATGGAACAATCTTGATGATTCTCCAACTATCTTTCTATTTTTGTTCTATTTAACAAATCTTTACTAATTTTGTAACCCTCCCAATAAGTTCTTTGATGTCCTTTAGAATCTTATATGGCCATATGACTTTACACATATTCTAGACTCCTTGATTGAGCAATTTTTACATTAAAAAAAGGCTTTTTCTCCTTTACTCACCCAGTTTTAGTCTGGATGAGTAAAATATTCAAGTAGTATATTTTATAATATACTACTTGATGAATAGTATATTATAAAAGTTTGTCTTATTTGAGTTTTTAAAAAACAATTATTTTTTTAAAAAACTAGTTTTCATACATTTTATAATTCATTTTTCTAAACAAGGAATAGATTTATTTTTGAATGTCCACTCCTTTAAAATATGTAGCTAAATATGCATATATCTGACCCACAGGTATTTCCTTTTCCAGTATTACTAATATCACAACAAAATCAGAATATATTCTTTACAAATATAAAAACTGCCTATTTTATAAAGTAATTATCTTTTATAAAAATCTTTCTTGAAAGCCTGTCAGATTGCGGGTAATAAGTCGAGGCTCCTTTAATATATTTTGGTCAGCTTGAATACATATTAACCCAGATAATTTATTTGCCAGCTTATGGTATAATAGCCTTTATTTCTGCAGATTATGAAATATTACTAGAGAATGACATGTTACCAAATATGAGGATAGGTGCCCTAGGGTTTTCTGGTGCTTTTGAAGACCAAGACCCTACTCAGTTTGAAGAGAGACACTTGAAATTTCTGCAGCAACTTGGCAAGGTAAGATGAAAGAAGTTTTTTATATAGTTAAATTATGACCATAGAACATTTTATTTAGGAAAAAAATGCTTTAAAGATTCTCTAAAGTTAACATTTCATAAGACTTTTAAGGAGTATTTGTAGAAAAAAAATTTAGTTGTCAGATGTTGGAGAAGTGCTATGTTAAACAACTGTCTTTAAAAAGAACTTTTCAGAATCTTTAACATGTAATATGCATTGAACATCTTAAAAAATTAGGTAACATTTCCCCAATTGATTTGGCCATGGGACTGTTTCTGGGTAGAAGGTGTTTCATTTATGAAATAGAGAAAGGGAAAATTAAGCCCTTCTTCTTTTAAATCCTCAACTGAGGATATATTTATTGATTTTAGAGAAAGGAAGAGAGAGAAATATTGATGTGAGAGACAAACATTTGTTGGTTGCCTGTCATATGCACCATAACAACAAACGGGCAACCTAGGTATGTGTGCTGCCTGGGAATTGGACATGTAACCTTTTGATGTACAGGATGCTCCAACCAACAGAGCCACACCAACCAGTAAGCCTTCCTGCTCACTTCCTTGTTTAGTCATCTGAGGAAGAAATCATCTAGTTGTTCAGAGTCTAGATGTTGATTGGACTGTGTTCACTTACAAGGCCTCTCACAACATGGCAGCTGAGGGCAGACACCCAATGTGGAAACCATGGTCTTTTTATAACCTAATCTCAGTAGTGATATCTCATCTCTGATGTGTGGCCTGTGTAATTGAGATTTAACTTTGAGCTTATATGTGGTCAAAGTTTTTTTTTTTAATTGACTTCAAAAATATAACTGAAAATAGTCGATTAGAAACTTTAGCTCAACACTATGTTGTTCTGTTCTTTAAGAATGCAATAATATCCAAAATATATTACTTTGATTAATACCCAGAATTTAATTGTAAATATTATATATCTGTATAGATAATAAATCTTAAATAAAAAGAGAAGAGGTTTCTTTAATGACTCACCCTAAAAAAAAGTGGGAACATCCCTATAGGCTAAAAATTTACTTTCTTGAACAAATAATACAGACTGTGTACTAATCTGCTCAGGCTAACATAAGAAAATACCATAGACTTAGTGGCTTTGCTATCAGATATTTATTTCTGATAGGTTCAGAGGCTGGAAAGTCTGAAGTCAAGGTTCTGACAGGGTTTGGTTGCTGGTGAGGGCTCTCTTATTGGTACTCATTTGGCACCTTATTGACAGAGAGCTTTAGTGCCTCTTCCTCTTCTTTTTTTTTCTCGTGTGTGTGTGTGTGTGTGTGTGTGTGTGTGTGTGTGTGTGTGTGTGTTAATCCTCACCTGAGATTTTTTTTCCCATTGATTTTTAGAGATAGTGAAAAGGAATGAGGGAGGAGGAGAAAGAGAGACAAACATCGATGTGAGAGATCCATCGACTGGTTGCCTTCTATACGTGCCCTCATTGGGGCTGGGGATTGAACCTGCAACCCACATACGTAGCATTGACCAGGAATTGAACCCTTTCCCCTTTGGTGCTTGGGCCGAAACACTAAGCACTGAGCCACACTAGTCAGGGCTCTTCTTCTTCCTTCTTCCTTCTTCCTTCTTCCTTCTTCCTTCTTCCTTCTTCCTCCTTCCTCCTTCCTCCTTCCTCCTTCCTCCTTCCTCCTCCCCCCCTCCTCTCCTCCCTCCTCCTCCCCCCTTCTCCTCCCCCCTCCTCCTCCCCCCTCCTCCTCCCCCCCTCCTACCCCCCTTCTCCTCCCCCCCTCCTCCTCCCTCCCTCTTCCTTCTTCTCCCTCCCTCCCTCCTTCTTCCTCCTTTCCTCCTCCTTCCTCCCTTCCTCCTTCCTCCTTCTTCCTCCTTCCTTCTTCTTCTTCCACCAGCTCTATCAGATGAAGGCCTCACCCTTATGACCCCATTTATCCTTTATCATCTCTTCATAGGCCCAGTCTCCAAATACATTCATTAGGGGGTTAGGGCTTTATCATATGAATTTTGGGGAGACCTACACATTCAGTCCATAATAGGCCCTTATCCTTGAAGTTAGTGATAAATAGCATCTCCCTTGGGTTGCCTTAATAATTAATGTTCATGATTTGTGTTTAAAAGCTTTTGGATATTGTTTATATTTTAGCTTTTAATTCCTTTAAAGAAATTAAATATATATTTTTACTACCCACTTGTGGAATTACTATTTTCTTTTTTGTCCTGAAAGTTATCCAATCTCTGCTTGGGGATGTGTGTTAATTCTGGCTGTTGGAATTGCTCATGTAATTAGAATTTGTTAGTGTTTGTGTGGAAAACTTGAGATTTCTATCCAAATGTGCTGTATTGTTCAGGGTAATTTTGGAAGTGTCGAGATGTGCCGGTATGACCCTCTACAAGACAACACTGGGGAGGTGGTGGCTGTGAAAAAGCTCCAGCACAGTACTGAGGAGCACCTCAGAGACTTTGAAAGGGAAATTGAAATCCTTAAATCCCTGCAGCATGACAACATTGTGAAGTACAAGGGAGTGTGCTACAGTGCTGGTATGTTGCCCATTGAAACCTATTTTGAATCAAGCTATATTGTTGGCATCCTGGGTAATAGAAATATCCTGTCTCAAGATGTGGACTTATAATGTAACAGTGCCCAGAGAGAGAGACTGAAGACTGCTTGGTGATGGTGAACTGTAACTACAGGAAGTCTCTGGCCAGTCAGTTAATCATTCTCTTCACTTTAAATGGTTGTTATAACCCTTGCTTATGCTTATTAAGTGAATATCATTTTCAAAGAAAAAGAAATTGTCTCTGCTCATGATTTTCTTTAAAAATATAATATTTAAATTAGACACTTTTTGTTCAGTACAAAATGAGGAGAAAGTAAGTTTTCTCAGCTTATTTTGATTTGCATGCAGGATTACAGAAGACTAAAACAACTATTTTGATTCAAAAAGCCCATGTTCTTTACTATTTCACCTTTAATTTACAATCAAATTATTTAATCTTAGACTCAGATTTTATATATCTTTAAATCATTTATGTATGGTTGTTTTTTAATATTTCATCAGTAAAATCTGGCAAAGTTTACATTATGTTCCCATTTGTGTTTTAAAAGGCCGGCGTAATCTAAGATTAATTATGGAATATTTACCATATGGAAGTTTACGAGACTATCTCCAAAAGCATAAAGAACGAATAGATCATAAGAAACTTTTGCAATATACATCACAAATATGCAAGGTACCTAATATTCTGGCTATTAGTTGTAGATGAAGTGAACATGTTTAGGTAATTGTTAAGAAATTCTCTCATTTATCTTAGATAATTAAGGGAGTATAAATAAGTAAGACCATTGAAATTGTTTATGTTTACAAAACTGGCTGAAAGAAAAAATGCTATTTTTTATCCATAGGGTATGGAATATCTCGGTACAAAAAGGTATATCCACAGGGATCTGGCAACAAGGAATATATTGGTAGAGAATGAAAACAGAGTTAAAATTGGAGATTTTGGGTTAACAAAAGTCTTGCCACAAGACAAAGAATACTACAAAGTGAAAGAACCTGGTGAAAGTCCTATATTCTGGTGAGTATATTTTAGTACAGTAAAATGAAATTTTAGAACATAAACTTCAAACTTTATTTTTACCATTACTAATAATTTGTCATTTATATATTTACTAAAGGCCTGGTGCATGAATACATGCATGGGTGGGGTCCAGCTGGCCTGCCCTGATTGGGGTGGGGGAGGCAATTGGACGAGGGGTTGGCTGGGGGGCAGTTGGCAGGCTGGCTCCCCTGGTCAAACTCCCGGTTGAAGTCCCAGTCAAGGGGACAATTTGCATATTAGCCTTTTATTATATAGGATAATAGTAGCAAAAATTTCTCATGTATTTACATTGGGCTTAAATGCATGTCATGGATTATCTCATTTTAATCCTCATAAGAATTCTTGGAGAATATGTATTTCTCATTTTAAGCATGAAGGAACTGAATTCTAGACAGGGTAAATAGCTTGCTCAAGATCAAGATTTTTTTAGATTCTACATATTATATAAAGTGAAATCATAGAATATTTGTCCTTTTCTGTCTGACTTATTTCACTAGGCATGATAACCCTACAGGTGTTAGCGGTGTCTTAGGGAAATGGATGACAATGGTGAAAGGGAATAAGCAGTACAAACTTCCAGTTGGAAAATAAGTCACAGGAGTGTAATGTACAGCACAAGGAAGATAGTTAGTGGTATCATAACTTTGTATGGTGTCAGATGGTTACTAGATTTATCACTGTGATCACCTCATAAGATATAAATGTTGATTAACTATGTTGTATATCTGAAACTCATGTAATATTACATGTCACTATACTTTAATAGAAAGAATTAGTTAACTTTTTTTTAAGTTTATTTTAAGAGGAGGACAAGAGCAAGAGGATCAGGGCTTGTAAGTGAATGGCATAATTGCAGAGCAAACAGGGAGCATTTGGGGCTAGAATGATATTAAGCACTGTACAACATGTTAATGAGTTCAGCCTTTATTTAGTAAACATTGTGTAGGTGAAAGATTTAGAGGCTTTATCCAGGGAATAACATTGTGGGAGTCATATTTTAGGAATTTGAATTAACTTTTTCCCCCTACTACTTTTGGTGCAGAACATCAGTTTTCAAAGTATGGGGACCTCTAGGAAGTCTGTTACCAAAAGTTATTTTAATACTAATACTAAGATGTTATTTGCCTTTTCCCTCTCCTTTTATCATGAGTAGATAGTGGAAATTTCCAGAGGTTATACTCTTATACTCTCTATAAAACCAAACAGTAAAGAGACTTTTAAAATATAAAACAATGCTACTCTTCTCACAGAAGCATTCTTTTTATGGTAATTTTTTTCAGTAATTTTTAAGAGTGTATAGGGGCCTTTGACCAAATGGTTGGAGAAGTGATAGAGAGGGTATGTTGTATTAAGGTGAGGCTAACAGCAGGGAGAAGCTAGAAAGAAAATAGTTTTATTACTGAATAAGCATTAATCCAGAAGGTACTGCACATCAAAAGTAATCTGCTTATAGATTACAAAGAGATAAAGAAATCTTATTCTTTCTTATGGCCAAGCAAATTCAACTCATGACTTATATTTTCTCATGATAAACCAGGAACTAGTCCTTAAGTGAGAAGACTTGACATCACATTTGTTACAGGTGTTTCATCCTAAATTCATTGGGTGATTGAAGTCACCATGTGTTAGCTAACTGGCTTTATCAAAGGAAAAATAAAGTCATAACTTATGACAAGAGATAACTTTGTAACTTGGAAGGAGGCTTCTGCTGAAGTCAGGTTCCTACCGTCTCACAAAACCTGAGGAGTAGTGGTGCTAACTTCCTTGATGATTATATTACAAAGAGAAGGTTCACAGGTTCTGGAGAAAAACATATTATAAAGCTGGCAAGAGTCTTTTGAGCAAAAGCTTTAAAAATGTTTACATTTGAAAGAGATAAAGAATTTACAGTGGTAAGTTTTCTAAAGTAAATGCTTTAAGAAAAGAGGGGGAAGAGTCATTTTCCTCATTTTCAACAAGGAAAGTTATATTTTTTTCTTTTTTACTTGTATTTATTCTTAAATTAGTGATGGGAGAGGGAAACGACCTTAGAGATTGGGGAAGGGAAGAGTGGAGAGGCGATTCCAGGAGTGCATTCAGGAAAAACAAAGGATGAGAATATTTTACAATGGTTGGAGGAGTAGCACTATCTTCAGGGATGTTATGTCCCATTTGTAGGCTAAAGCTAACATTTATTTAAAAATATAACTGAAGATGTACTGTGTTTTAAAAAACTAAATATAAAATGAAAATAGCATTGCATGGTTAATTGTGTGGCATATACTTACTATAGGTATTATAGAAATTCAGTAGCATTGAGTCATGAAAACCTTGAGTAGTCAGAGAAGGATTTGTGGAAGTGAGTATATTTTAAAGGAGAGATTAAATTTTTGTAATTCATATTTTTAATCTCAATTAAAAATTTTATTGTTTAAGGTATTAAAATTAGTAATGCATATGTCTCTTCCCCCCTCCCTGTCCCCCATTGACCTCCTCCCAGCCTCCCCTATACCCTAGCACTTGTCCTCACCACCATCGCCCCCTCAGTGTCTTATGTCTATTGATTTGCTTATATACATGCATACAAGTCCTTTGGTTGAGCTCTTACCCCCCAACCCTCCCCTGCCTTCCTGCTGTAATTTGATAGTCTGTTCTATGCTTCTTTGCCTCTATCTATTTTGTTCAGCAGTTTATAATGTTCTTTATATTTCACAAGTGAGTGAGATCATGTAGTAATTTTCTTTCACTAAATGGCTTAAGTCACTTAGCATAATACTCTCCAGTTCTATCCATGCTGTTGCAAATGATAAGAATTCCATGTTTTTTGCAGTAGCATAGTATTCCATTGTGCAGATGTACTACAGTTTTCTAATCCACTCATCTGCTGATGGGTATTTAAGCTGTTTCCAAATCTTAGCTATGGTAAGTTGTGCTGCTATGAACATAGGGGTACATATATCCTTTCTGATTGATGTTTCTGTTTTCTTGGGATAATCTCATCAATCTTAAACAGATCTCTATCATCACTCTCTATAATAAGGATAAACTTAGCAATGTAACCAGGACATTCACAGTCCATTAGCCGAAATTCTCCTTTGGTTAGTGTTAATACTTGAGTAGATAGTAGCATTATTTCTTCCTGGACTTTGTTTTTTGTGCTCTTTCACAAAAAATCACTTTCTTAAGATGAGCAGCTTCTTTCTTTTATATGTTAACTAAAGGCCCAGTGCATGAAATTTGTGCATGGATAGGATCCCTAGTGGCTGCCAGCTGGGGCCTCCCTTCACACCCACCTTGGTCTGGTGCAACCCATTCAACTGCTCCATCATCCCGGCACAGTCCCACTCTCATCAGGGCCCATCGGGGCTGGCAGCATCTCCACTGCCGCCACAGCAGCACCATGTTGCCAATGCCCGCCATGTTCCGCACCGTCCCCTGGTGGTCAGGCCATGTCTAATTCCTGATCGGTCAAACTCCCACTCGTAGGGACAATTTACATATTAGCCTTTTATAATATAGGATAGTTTCAAGTCTTGCTCCAGTTTAGAAGCAACTTTTGCTCTCTATGGTACTTTGTAGTTAATCCTGGTGTTTCCTATAGAGGCAAAAAAGTTGTTTTTTGTTTGTTTGTTTGTTTATTTTTTTTCGTTTTGAGTTATCTTTGTGTATTTGGAGGTGTGGACCACTCTCAGATTTGATATTCACTAGGAGGATTCGTAGCAGTCAGCATACTTTTTTGCTGTGATTTGTAACTGTGATTCTATACAGAGAACAACACAGAGCAAATCAGCAAAGGAAAAGGAGTCTGGGGGAAAACTGGAGGGAACCAAGTTCAGTCTTCCAAGGGTCCTCTCTCAGTAAAGTGTATGGGACACACTTCCTTTTTACAGCAGTAAGTTGAACAACACAGTGCCCAAGGTTTGTATTGGTACTGGACACGAGAGCACCCTCTGCCTGGTATGTACCACCATTTCAGACTCCTAGAGAGAAAATAGGCATTTGGCACAAACCATGTAGTTGGCAGAAACATTTTAGGCACAGTGAGCCACTCTTATCATTTAGGGAATTGAGGAAACACTTCTGAAATCTAAGTTCCGGGTACCAGTCATGCGTCAACATTGCAAGCAGGCCTTTTTTAGGATGACACCCTCAAGCCTGCTGTGGTAACTCTTTCCCGTACATCCATCTATCTTCCTTCCTTCCTTCCTTCCTTCCTTCCTTCCTTCCTTCCTTCCTTCCTTCCTTCCTTCCTTCCTTCCTTCCTTCCTTCCTTCCTTCCTTCCTTCCTTCCTTCCTTCCTTCCTTTTCTTCCTTTTCTTCCTTTTCTTCCTTTTCTTCCTTTTCTTTCTTTTCTTCCTCCCTCCCTCCCTTCCTCCCTTCCTCCCTCCCTCCCTCCCTCCCTCCCTCCCTCCCTCCCTCCCTCCCTCCCTCCCTTCCTCCCTCCCTCCCTCCCTTCCTCCCTCCCTCCCTCCCTTCCTCCCTCCCTCCCTCCTTTGGTTTTCAGGTACAAACAAGAGTTGGCACATTAAGTAAGCGCCTTTTAAATGCTTTCCTATTCCACAGGTATGCTCCAGAATCACTGACAGAGAGCAAGTTTTCTGTGGCCTCAGATGTTTGGAGCTTTGGAGTAGTCCTGTATGAACTCTTCACCTATATTGAGAAGAGTAAAAGTCCACCAGCGGTCAGTGTGTTTTTATTTATTTTCAACTTTTTTTTTTTTAATATGAGAAAAGCTTTTTCCAAACAATAATAGTAAGCTTAAAGCTTATCTAGCCTTTTCTTGCTTATTTGTAATACAACATCCAACAAAATAACTCTAAACTTATTCATTAAATTAACTTGAATTTTTAAAAAGAAGAGGGATAGAGTACTATTTACTATATTCTCTTAATATTATTCTTAATGCATCCAATAAACTCATTCATTCTAGGGACTATTGCAAAAGTTAAAGTAAACCTTTTAAAATATTTTTTTTTCCTGATCATTGTAGAATTTTCTTTAATATAGAAAAGTATGAAAAAAATCCACTCCAATTCAACTACTTAGAGGTAGTACTATGGTTTGTTTTCTTCCTGGCTTCTTTTAATTTTATATGTATTAAATATATTTTTTTTTATAAAATAAAGGTTATATTATACAGCTTGCTATCTTTTTTTTTTTTTAAATTAGTATTAGAGCATGGATATTTTTCTATATTAATAACTTCTGAAAATATGGCTTCTAACTTTTGGATAGCATTTCATAATAAGGATATAATATCTAAACAATTATTTTTTATTTTCAGTCTTTTAAGTAACACCTCAATGAACATAGTGAACATCCTTATACATAAATATTTGTTTCTCTCTGGTTGTCACCTTAGAATAAAAGTTTAATAATAAATGAAAGGATATGAACTCTTTTAAAGGTTCTTGAGTATTTCAAAATGCTTTCTAGAAAAGCTGTATCAGATTACACTCTCAATAGCAGTGCACAGGGTATGTGCATTTCATCATCTGACAGTATCCACTGTTAATGTTTTTATGCAGCTTTGCCAAATTGGTAGGAGAAAAGTGGCATCTATTTTATCTGAAATTGCGTTTTTCCTATTACTGTGACTGAACACATACTTCTTGGGTATTTTATGTATATATGTGTGTGTGCATTGTCTCCTTATGTGCTTTGCCCATTTTTATTTTGGTAGTTTTTCTTACCAGTTTACAAGAGCTCTCTACATTTCAATAAAGAATGTGTTGCAAATATTTTCCTAGGTTACAAGTCAGATTTTTATGAATTTTAAAACTTGAACATATTTTTCTCTCCATGTACTTTTACTTAAACATTTATTCTGCACTTTCTTTTTATTATGCTCTCTTTTACATTCAACTTTTTATTTCAGCTGAAATGTAATGTAATGTGACATGTTATAACAATAGCCACACACACAAAAAAAATGTGAATATGGTTCTAGTTCATTTATTTGGGCCCTTCTCAGGGAATTTGGGTTGAGTATATTACATTTATAGAAATGGCATTATAGAAGTTCCATATATAACAGTCCTATGTGAAGTATTCCTGAAAAGGAAGTTTTAAAATAGTTTGACTTTTAAAAATATTTTTTATTGAATTTTTTTTTTTTTAGAGAGAGAGGGAGAGGGATAGAGAGGTAGAAACACTAATGAGAGAGGAACATTATCAATCAGTTGCCTCCTGCATGCCCCCACTGGGGACCACACCTGCAAACCAGGCATGTGCCCTGACCAGGAAATGAACCAGCAATCTCTTGATTCCTGGGATGATGCTCAACCACTGAGTAACACCAACCGGACAAAATAGTCTGTTTTTAAAATGTTTCAAGCATATAAGAAAGCATACATATACAGAGTTTTTCCCATTTGTTGGAAGAAGTTGAGAAAGATTTCTGCTTCAAATAAAATGTACCCAAAAAATCTCACTGAAATGTGGGTTTATGTTTCAGGAATTCATGCGTATGATTGGCAATGACAAACAAGGACAGATGATTGTGTTTCATTTGATAGAACTCTTGAAGAATAATGGAAGATTACCAAGACCAGATGGATGCCCTGATGAGGTCACAAATTTATTTTTTTATCCACAGTAATCATACAATTTCTTGCTCTTTTAGAACAAGGACTTCAGGTCACTTCATCAAATTTAATTAATGAGCTTTTAAATAAATAGCATAATCATATAACTATGGATCTGGGCACAGATACCTATATGAAAAAATTAAATGGGAGTTCTGAATTCATGTGTTCTGCCAATTAAAAAAATAGCACTTTGTGTTCATTGTAATTCTGGTTTATTTTATCTTTTACAGATCTATTTGATCATGACAGAATGCTGGAATAATAATGTAAATCAACGACCCTCTTTCAGACACCTAGCTCTTCGCGTTGATCAAATAAGGGACAACATAGCTGGATGAACGAAATGAACTTCACTTTGAGACCAAACTAAAGTTAGAGAACAAAGTTTTGTATTTCACATTGCTGTGGACTATTACTATATATATCATTGTTATGAATATCATGTTGCTAGCCACAAAGATGTGGAAATATCTGCTCAAAACTTTCAAAGTATAGTGAGTTTTTCTTTATGGGGACACCAGTAAAAAACGTTGATGAAAAGTTCTGAGTAAAGAATTTTGTAAAATATTTCATGAACTTATTAGGCAATTAACATCACTTTTCTTTGGCAAAAGAAAAAAAATAGATGTTTTTTAACTCAGAATTTTGAGAGATGAAAAATTATAAATTTTACAATGTTAAAGAAGCACAGAATACATATGTACAGTTTTTACCACAGTGAGTGTATAATACCTTGGCATCTTGTGTGATCTTTTACACAAGGGCTGGCTCATTAATGGTGTTTTATAGTTAACTTCACTATACAAACAAATTAAGATGCTCAAATAATTGAATAAGCACTTTTGTGTTCTTGTTCATCTATATCACTGGCCAGCAATATAAGCAGGTGTAAACTTTTTGCTTATCATTCTATGTACTGTAAATATTTTTCAAAGAAAAGGGAACAAATGTTTAGTTTTATTTGTATAGGAATTTCCTTGACTATAAAGAATACATTTTGAAATGGAACAAGTTTACAAAGCTGTAACACAATCTATTTTCTTATTTGTCTCCTTTGTATCTATTTGTGATGAGTTTGTTGTGTGTGTTTTTAAATAGATCTCTAAATTTTTCTAAGACTGGTAAATAGTTTTTTTTTTTAAATTTTGAGATTATGAATGCAGGAATATTGTCATCCCTTGAGCTATTGGCTGCCAATATGATTCTTCAATCCTTGGGACCTATCATCATGCATTAAATTTAAGTGTAAGCCATATGATACGTTGTTTTTTAAATGCATAAACCTATTAAGATTCATAGTGTGGGCTAGAGATTTTTTTTTAAAGACTATTTTAGGGATTTTAGAAATCTCTTGTAGTCACAGAAGAAATTTTCTCTGAGAAAATTCAGAAAGTCATATAGTCAAAAGAGAAATGAGAGAAAATTGGTAAAAACAAAAACAAACAAAAAAAAAGTATGCTTGTTATTTTATTCCAGAATGCCAGTAGAAAATTCTTAATATTCCTTTAAGAAAAATGAGAGCATGCATATTTTCAGTGAAGTATAATGGGTTGTTTGTTGTCTTCGTCATTTTAGTGCTACTTCATTTTAGACACTGTACATAATATGAGGTGGCATTTATTGTTATTTATAAAAAGTTTAAAATACTTAGTATTTGGGTTAAAAAGAAAATTTCTTACTCTTGTTTCAGTGGTATGTGCTATTTTTTAAACTTAGATTTTTAATAATTTTTCTGATTATTTTTTGGAGCTAGTTTTAAAGTGCAAATTCTCTAAGAAAAAAAATGTTTCATATGTAACGTTTGAGATTCTTTTGGTTGGAAGGAAGGAAAGAGGAGAATTTCTTTTTATATGATCTTTAAAATATTTTAGTGGTTACTGAATGAAAAAATATTTAAAATTTTGAAAGATTTCTAGTAGATATTTTGATGAAAGTTTAATATAATTTTTATTTAAAGATCTGTAAATACATGCAATTAAAGATCTCCATTTTTGCTACTTTTCAAGTCAAAAGTATGATGATGTGCTTGATTTCAGATTTTTATATTAAAACTTAAGTTCTGAAAGGTAGAATTTTAAAGGTCTAAAACATTGTTTTTATTTATTTTATTATTATTATTTTCTATTGATTTCAGAGAGGAGAGGGAGAGAGAATGGAAACATCAATGAGAGATAATCATTGATTGGCTGCCTCCTTCATGCCCCTCCTGCATGTTCACAATCCCTGGCATGTGCCCCTGAATGGAATGGGATGCTTCAGTCTGCAGGACGATGCTCTATTCCCTGAGCCAAACCAGTGAGGGCCATCTTGTTTATTTTTAAAAATAAGGATGTTAACTAGATTTTCTTTTTAAAACATTTTTAATGTTTCATTTTTAGTTGTAGAGAAGAAATACTTTATAAACATTTTTAAGTATTTAGAGTTGATGACTACCTTATTGTAAAATGTTAAATTTTCAAGAGAATTATTACTCATTAAGGATTAATGTTTTAGATTTTGATTCTGACTATACATAGAAAGAAATTGAACCTGTAGCTGTTTAGTTGGTTCTGCACAAGAAATAGGTAATTATTGTTCTAGTTAATGCCAAAATGTTTCTTCAAATTAATATTCTTCAGAAATGAGGATAAAGATTTTCTTAGAATTCTGTAATTCTGTAAATATTCTGGTATAGTAAATTATACAGTCTTTATATAAATAATTTCTTATATCCATAGCTACCTGCTTTGGGAAATAGTAATTTTTTTTATGTTATTTATACATGTGCTGCCAGTACACTGTAATTTTCTGTGAAGGAGTGCTTTCTTACAACCCAAGATTTCTGCTATAAAGTCAAGTGAAATTTTTATCACAACTATAACTTCTGATATTTCAATTTTATTTAAATACTTCTATTATGGAGTAGACATTAGAAAATACCCACAGTCCTATACCTGGGAGCCATTCTCCATGGGGTGATGTTATATGGCCAGTTTATGAAGACTGTATTATTTTTTCAATTGTGCCTTTAGCATGTTCTCACAAAATTGAAATATTGATGTAATAAATATTCAGAAGTTATTTTCTTTTTTATTGTCTTTTAAATACCTCCACCAAGGAAGTGGGGGTATACACACTGGTTTAGGATTGTGCAGAGAAATCCTTTTATAGCAGTAAACTTACTACTTTAGATTTTTTTTTTTTTTTAAAGAAATGCTTTCTTAGATTACTACCAAGTACTGCATGTTTTTATGAACATTACCATATCTACTCTAGTTCTAGTACTTAAATGATTTCTAATGAAAGTTTCTTTGGTTTTCCAGTATTTAACTAAAGTTTTTTCTCTTTGCTATACTGTATAATATTGACTGAACAGTGGAACGGCTGGTTGCTATGATGCGCAATTGGTTATTTTAGAAAAGCTCCTGGTCCAAGTTGAGATAGTATATAATCCCAGGGTGCAGAGTTCTCTCTCTCAGGGACCTGCGCTGGCCCCATTTGTTACTCTTCACAGTAACCATGAAGGTTTGGCAGTCCCATCTGGGGCCTGTAGCAAACTGCATGGGCTCCCAAGGACTAAGCTTTAATATGAAACAGAACTCTGGACACTGGCCTTTATTTTGGCCTTGACGAAGACAAGTTTGGACTTTTCCACGGCAGGAGGAATGGAGACGGGACATTGAAAACCCAGGGAACAGCCTTCAATTTCCACCCAAATAAATTTTACCACCTGCCCCTTAGGAGACCCATTTATTTCCAAAAGTTGATAGTACTGTAAAGAACAGTCTATTGCCCAGTCAGTGTGGTTCAGTGGTTGAGCATTGACCTGTGAAATAGGAGGTCACAGTTCGATTCCAGGTCAGGACACATGCCTGGGTTGCGGCTTTGGTCCCCAGTGTGGGGCGGGCAGGAGGCAGCCAATCCATGATTCTCATTATTGATGTTTCTCTCCCTCTCCCTGCCTCTCTGAAATAAAAAATATATATTAAAAAAAAAAAAAACAGTATTTCCTAAAAATCATTTAGACTTCTGAGACCTAAGGAACAATGAATATGGTGCTAGAAAAAGGGAATTTCTAAAAAACTTTTTCAGATCTAATATTAAATTCACATTTAATGGGATTTTTGTTAACATTTTTTAATGTCTCTTATTTTAGAATTACTAAAATAACTGTGGAAGGTTAGAGTATTGAGTTAAAGCATAACTCAATCAAATGCCAAAAATTCTTTGGCTCTAGCCCTCATTGGTTTGGTTCAATGGATAGAGCGTCGGCCTGTGGACTCAAAGGTCCCAGGTTTGATTCCAGTCAAGGGCATGTACCTGGGTTGTGGGCACATCCTCAGTAGGAAGTGTACATGAGACAGCTGACCGATGTTTCTCTATCCATCTCCCTTCCTCTCTGTAAGAAAATCAATAAAATAAATATTTTTTAAAAAAATTCTTTGGCTCTAGTAATTACCTAGGTTAGTGGTTGGCAAATTCATTAGTCAACAGAGCCAAATATCAACAGTACAACGATTGAAATTTTTTTTGAGAGCCAAATTTTTTTAACTTAAATTTCTCGTAATGCCACTTCTTCAAAATAGACCGTCCAGGCCATGGTATTTTGTGGAAGAGCCACACTCAAGGGGCCAAAGAGCCGCATGTGGCTCTCGAGCCTAGTTTGTCGACCATGGACATACGTCATTTCCTTTTTTCTTTTCTTTTTTTTAAAGATGAGTGAACTGCAATACTTCTTTAAAAAAAAATGTTTTTATTGATTTCAGAGAGAGGAAGGGAAAGGAAGAGAGAGACAGAAACATTGATGAGAGAAACATCAAATGGCTGCCTGCTGCATACCCCCATCTGGGGATCAAGCCTGCAGCCCAGCCATGTGCCCTGAGTAGGAATCAGACCAGTGACCTGGTGCATGGGGTACAACCAACCAACTGAGCCACACTGGCCAGGCCCTAGGTCATTTTCTTTTAGCTCCAACTCACTTACTTAATGGCTAAATTAAAAAAAGACAAAAAAGACTGTATATGTGAGAGTTTATTTCTGAGCTCTTCATTTTTCCCCATTGGTTTATATGTTTGTTTTTATGCCAGTACCATGTTGTTTTGATCACTGTAGCTTTGGTAGTAAGTTTTAAAATTGGGAAATGTGAGACTTTCCACTTTGTTGTAAGTTTAAAAACAAACAAACAACTTTTGGTTATTTGGTGTCTCTTGAGATTCCATATGAATTTTAAGATGGATTTTTCTACTTCCACAAAAAGTGTCATTGGGATTTTGATAGGGATTGTATTAAATCTTTAGTATACTTTGGGTAGGAATAATGTCCCTCTTTTGTGGATTATCTCATTTTATCCATACAACTC